TCGGCCGGCTTCCAAAGTTCTCTCGACCACCAAAGGCCCGAATTGTCAATAGATCTCAGCTGATGTGTCGTATATCTGAAACAAAAAAGCGGATGGGAAGGTTTACGCGTGGAAGGCGGCAGGCAACCTTGGAAGGTGGGGGGCTGCGCGCGTTCGTGCTGACGATGATGCTGTCATACCACCGACCTTCTACCAACCTCCTCTCTTCCATCTCAACTCCGGATGATCTTGTACGCCGCGCAACAAAATCGCGATCGCGACGGTTTCTCCGACGACGGAATCTCTGTAAAAAAGAATTCCCTCCAGGACGGCTCATAATCGGACGTCGTTAACAGGCTATATCTTCACATGCCATGATGCGCGCAAGCCACAAAGCCGTTGCCCCGAACGACCCTGTTTACTAACCAATGCTATCCACCTTGGCGTGGGAAAATCAGGGCAAATCAGGCCCAGACGCGTTCGGAACGGCTCCCGATCGTGGATTTAGACACTCATTGGACCGATGGACGCCTTCCACCGAAATACAGGCGCTAGAATAGCGCGTTGCGCAACTTGGTCGATGGCTTTCGGCCAGGGTCGAGGGCGTTGCGGGCTGGGCCTCTGTTGACAGACCAGCCACCTCGCGGTCCCGTGCATGAACCGCAGATCTGAGCCCACCACCCGACCTGTATCTGCACATCTCCAACTCCACCCGTATTGTCGCTTGCGTCGTACTATCTGTCCCGCAATTCCCAAGTGTCGTGGTTCATGGGACGTCATCTCCAGCATTCGAGGTGAAGGTCCTCGCGCATCATCCCACCACTATGTCGACATCACTAAGGCTGCCTATCGAACTTCGGATGCAATGGCTACCACTCCTGTCGACTTCGCTACTGCTGTCTGCCGTCGCAGCCCAGATGCCATACAACCCGACACGCCTCCTCCAAAACAATGATACCCTCTACGTCTTCCGCCCGTCGTCGCAATCGTCCACGCAATTCGCACTGAGCACCATCGATCTATCGTCCCAGGTCAAAGCGTCGAACCTGCCCTACAACACACTGTACGCAACGCTGCCCTTCCTCAACGACAATGCCCCGCGCGCCTTCACCCCGGTTCTCGACCACGACGGCAACCTGACTGTATACACTGGCGACTGCACTCTGGGTGCGAGTGGTGGAGAGTTGTGGAGCTTTGTACCGGATACCTCAGAGAATGTCGTCAAGGGCAGTTGGAGCAAGCAGGATGTTTCCGTGGTCGACAGTTCGCATACGTTCATCATGGGCGCGAACTACCTCAGCGGCGGTATGACATTCTCGTCTATTGTCGACGGAAAGGCTGCGAATACTGGCGCATACTTCTTCGGTGGCATGTGCCCTGATCAGAACGAGACTGCGAGCGACTGGCAATCTTCGGCCAACTACTCAAACTTCATGGTCACCCTACAACCATCGGAGGATACGAGCAAGCCACTCAATTACGACATCGATGTCTCCTCCAGCCGTGGACCACCGATACCAGAAGCTGGGTTCACCATCACTGGTCTTTCGCCTACATACTCCGATCGAAGCGATGGCACGCAGATACAACAGCAAAACTTCGTCCTCATCGGAGGCCATACCAGTGCTGCCTTCATCAACATGTCGCAGATAGCCCTCTTCTCCCTTCCGGAACAGGGCTGGACCTTCATCGGCGTCGACCAACCCGACACTTCTCGTACAGACCTAGCTATCCGAACAGACGTCACCTCGATCGATCCTCGTTCCGGTCATACCGCTGTGCTGAGTCCGGATGGCCAGCAGATCATTGTAGTCGGAGGTTGGGTGGGCGACATCAACACACCGGCAGACCCCCAGTTCGCCATACTGAGTGTCGCAGATGGTTATGGTGGTACTGGTGACTGGCAGTGGGTAGTTCCATCTACTACTGGTACCGGACTGCCGAATGACGGTGGTCTATATGGTCATGGCGCGGCCATGCTCCCAGGAGGTGTACTGATGATTACCGGAGGCTATTCTATTTCATCATCCGGTACACAGCGAAGAGAGGTTGTGCCAGCAGCAAACACGCAAACATACTTCCTCAACGTTACCTCGAATACCTGGATCTCGGATTACACTCCCCCGGTCAAAGAGTCGCCATCAGAGTCTGCCAGTAGCGGGCTGTTGTCTACGACTGGACAAAAGGCTGGCTTGGGTGTCGGTGTTGGTATCGGTTTGGCTGCGATATGTGGAGTGTTCGCGCTCTACATGTGGTATGCACGGCGTTTGAAGAAGCGAAGGGAGTTCCGTGAAAAGCAACTGCAGGAGATTTCCTACACTACTCACAGATACAATGCCGAAGACTACCCTCAAAGCTTCGATGGCCGCGGCGGGAACTCGGATGCTCTGGACTATATTACCGATCAGAACGGGCCTTACTACTTCCCAGCCGGTACACAGGGTGGACAAGGATGGAAGGCCACCAACCGCGGCGATGTGGAGAGAACTGGACTACTGGTCGAGATCCCAAGTCCAACGCGTGGACTGCGACGCAACTTGAGCGGTAGACCTCAATACGCCATGGGCACGCCCCGAGGTCCAGGAAGCATACATCCTATCGATGAGTTGGAGGAGGAGCCTGATGAGGAGTCTGCGCACGACAACAATACACCGGGCAGGCATCAGGAGATGGCAGAGACACGACAAAGATCTGGGTCGGCCATACTTGATAACGCTCCAGTTCTGGACCCATTTACGGAGTCCCCTGGACGTAAAAGAAACACTCTTCATTCAGCGTCTGCGTCGCCTCAACACCAGAGTTATGAGGTTAATACCAATTCAGCTGGAAGGCTGTCCCCTGATAAGTCTACTTCGGAGCGTACAAGCTCGAACCTCAGCGAGAGGAGTACGCTGTCATGGACTTCATCTAATGGCGGCGTTGGGCGCAGTGGATCTATGCGTTCAGGTCCTATGTTGAACACAGCCATGCGTGCCAACCCATTCAAAACGCCTGATACAAGTCCCACTCATGACAAGCCTGGCCGACACTCACCAGAAGACCCGCGAACGCAGTCCTTCAGTAGTCTGCAAGGAGAGCAGGATGTCGACTCATTCCGCACCGCACAATCGTCATTCTCTCGTCTACAAGCAGAAGGCGAGGTACTACTCGGCGGAAACCCAGAGCGATCAAGACCCGACACCAGCTCATCCGGTTCAACCACACACCGCGACTCAGACCGCAGCAACAGTCGCGCAGCCACAGCCACACCAGCAACATCCTTCGCACTAGACCTATCATCCGCCCCTCGTCCCGCAACCAGAGAGCGCAGAATGAGCTGGCTAGGCAGCGTCCGCAGAGTACTAACACGCTCCGTCTCAAGCGCCGAACGCACGCGCTCCCTCACAACAGCACCAACATACCACGAGCCCTACAGAGACGATCCCACCTCCCCCGTTGACCCCTCTCCCCGCTCCATCAACAGGAAATCCCTGCCTGCTCCCGCGACTACAAATTCGACACCCCAACGCGCCGCCTCCGACGCAAGCTTCTGGCGCAACCGCCGCGGCAAGCAAGACTGGCTCGAAGAAGAACAAGACCCCGCCTGGCGCCGCACCGCAGGCGATGACTGGGGCGCCCCCGAAGACATTGCCATCTTGGAGCGTGAACGCGCACGTCAAGAGTGGCGCGAACGCGGTAGCAATCTCCTCGTCACCATCAACAGTGAGGAGAGGTTACCTACCCCACGTACACCCATATCCCCAGACCAGCTAGGCGTCCCACCATCACACGATAGAGGAGATGACAGAGAACGTCCCTGCACCCCCGCCAGCGAAGCAGACTGGGATGTCGAAGCCGCAGTCGAGCGCCGCGTTGTACAGGTCATGTTCACAGTTCCAAAGAGTAAACTCAGAGTCGTTAACGCGGATATCGATGGCGCGAGCATGTTGAGTGATGTTCCTCCACGGGATGTTGGGGATGATAATGGGAATGGGAATGGGAAGGAGTCGCCGACGAGGGTGAAGGATCTGGCGGGCAGGTTTGAACAGATGAGTGGGAGTAGAGCGGGTAGTCCTAGGATGTCGCCGAGGCCGAGCCCGTCGAATTCTATTAAGAGTTTGAAGGTTAGGGGGAAGGCGAGTCAGAGTAGTTTGGCGAGGCAGACGAGTATTAGGAGCGCAAGACTAGGCAGCGGGGCGAACCCGAGCCCGCTGGGCAAAGGGAAGGAGAGGCAAGAAGAGTAGAGACGAAGACGGCACCTTTCGGTTGTACGATTTCTTTTTTATTGATCTAGGGATAGCGATTGGCGTTTCAGGATCGATAGATATCCTCGATGTTTGTATTTACGTAGTAGCACGATTTAGTCTTGATGGATGACGTGCTCCACGGTCGTTTTTAGACGGAGATGAAGACGAAGCGATGTAGTTAGGATGTAGAAATGACCTCACATTTTACTCCTAGCCTTGCCGTTGCACGTTGAACACCTTACCGTCACCTTGACCTCTATTCAAATCATGCCGTCTGAGAGATGCTAGATTCTCTGGCTAAGAATGTAAGAGACTTCAAGGTACCTCCCGTCGAACCGTCTGTCAGTGAGTGGACGGGCCAGCGGGTGTGACATCGCAAGCGCGGTGGGTGACAGTGTGTCGATGAAGACCCTTTGTTCGTTCGTTCGGTTGATACGGATAGTGATGGGGATTGTGGATCTGGTGTTACCTGTCCAGCATCATCAAAGCCTGTCCTCTAAAGTTGGGGGTTTCGTGTTACATGTCAACCGTCGTTGGCTCTATACGATTTCGCACAATATAAAGGACTTGTGGGGTACGTAGCGCCTGTACTCATACCCATGTGTTCTCGAATGCTCGTACGCGAGGAGGCGGGAGATATAGGGATGGCGAATGAAAGTCTTTGTTCAAGACATGCGGTAGCTCGACCAACCTTTTGCTATCGGCGAAGAATTCTGGCTGGCTTGATGGCGGCAGGTATGGGTTGCTGGCATGTGCCCTTGCGGAAGAGCAGGCGGATGAGTGTGCAATCCCACCATGCACCCAATACAGAAGTTGAACAAGAGGAGCGACGCCGAATTGATCTCTCGAGCAGCTGGATTCCATGACGATGACGAAAGTGGGACGGATACCTCGGCCACAGCATGCAGATCGACTTACCAATCTTACTTCGACTGGTGCTACCGTTCCAGTACAGACTGGATACTATGGTATCTCGTCGGCGATACATCGAAACAAGAAGACCAAAAAACAGACAATACCACAAAGCCACCTTGCCGCGTCGACTCCGCCATTGGACTTGATCTGCTGAATCAAGAGAATGGACAACTGTGCCGTAACGCGGCGTCGATACCACCCACCGCAATCGACCTTACGTTTCGTTTTGAAGATGGTCAACTCGCCAAAACACTGGAATACCGTACGTTCGCAAGATGGGAGCACGTCAGCACACTGCTAGGCCAGCTGAGCGAAGACGGCATCATCGTCCACACGCTCTGGGACGTTGACGAAGACATGCCGATCAGCAGTGGTGACTGGGATGCTAGGATTCATCCGGGAAGTGTGATAGATGCGTGGTGTTTCAACGGCGAAGAGAGTTGTGATTTGGATAGAGATAGTAGCGAGGGCGAGGACGAGGTCGAAGGGGTGAGAGGTCAGAAAGAGCATGAGAATTGGTGGTTTGCGAGATGGAGGGGAAGAGTAGAGAGAGAAAATGTGAAGAGGGAGGGGGTGATTGAGGGATTTTCGTGGTTCATGATGGTGATTTGGTGTATGACCATCGTCGCTGGTATAGTGGTTTTTAGTCTAGTATGTTAGGTGAAAAGTCATCGCAGGAATCACGTACACGGTGATGTGAACCGTAGGAGAGTGTTTAGGAAGGAAGGCGCAAACCGGCTGCTCAGACAGTGGCCAAATGGGGGCGCTTCACGCTAGCACCAATCTGGACATAGCCCCACTCCAGGGCTAAGTTAAATCACGCGTCGAGCTCCAGAACACCACCCAGCCTCGAACACCTCCCTCATTGATTCGAGCATCGCGTTGCTTTTCGGGCTTGATTACACGATACTACGCACAATACGACACGATGACGAAAGCGAGCGCTCTCAGCGGCGTCTGTGTCATCATGCGGTTCGCGCCTCTCACGCGCCGTGACCCTTCCCCACGCGACCAGTATGCTACACCTCTACCTCGCGAAAGCACACGTTCTACCTGGCGTTATCGCGACCCTGTGTAGAGTAAGATTGGCATTGATGGAAGCGACAATGCATCCTCGATGTGTGCTGAAGCGTCTCGGTGGGCAGTAGATTCCCAGCACCACTATATTTTCCATTCACCCGTTACTAACCCCTTGCAATTGTCCGTGCATTTGCGTTTAATCGAAAGAAGAAGAAAAAAACACTGGGCGACCTCACTAATTGTATACACAATGGCTTACAGGTTCATACGACCGGATCTTCCTGCTTAACATCAAATCACAACCACTCAAGTTAAATCACCCACAACATCCGAGTATGGCTCCAGTTGTACATGAGATCGATCCAGACGCGGATACAGTCATAATCTTACGATCACCGGGTGATGGTGAATACTTCGCTTGGTGGGATGATTCATCGTTCGACAACCTTGACATACTTGATCAACTCCCTTTCAGCATGAAAGAATGGGACACAAAGATGTCGCTCTCGGACGATATCGAAGTTCACCAGTCACCTGCGAGGGCGTTCATCACGAAGGAGTCGGATTGGGTAATCCTTAATGTTCCTGAGGGATCTGTCCTTTATCTTGTCTCGTCACGCCACCTCAAACTGGCGTCACCGGTCTTCAAAGCAGCGCTCTCACCTCGTACCTGGAGTGAGGGATGCAAGCAGGCCGACAGTCGTTACCATATCACAGCAGACGATTGGGAGGAGGAAGCATTCCTCCTCTTCATGAACATGCTACACTTGCGCAGCCCTCAGATCCCGAAGTCTGTGAGCCTCGAACTAATGGCGAAGCTGGGAATCCTCATCGACTATTACAACTGCGCCAGTGCGGTGGAATTCTTCACCTCGGTCTGGATGAACAAAATCTATGGTGATAAAATGGAGGGTGAATACTGCCGCGAGTCGATACTGCTGCTTTGGGTTTTCCATCTCTTCGGGAGCAAAGATTGTGTCGCTCTCCTTGTTGAGCTAGTGACCTTTTATTGCAACGAGAGCAAACTACGCACCTTGGGACTTCCCATACCCCAATCTTTGTCAGGTAAGTTAGCGATGTTGCTCTGAGACACTTGTAGTATTCTAACTCGCGGTAGATGAGATCGAACATCGGCGACATGAGCTTATCAACAAGAAGCTGTCATATCTGCATTATAAACTGACAATGAACCCCAAGCCGAATGAACACCTGCCAGATAGATTGCGGGAGACACTGAGGCGAACCATCGGTGGCCAAAGACGTTCAACCGGATATCCCTACCTTGAGGTCACTGTGGTGGCACTCGAAAGGGTCCTTCTTGACTACTCTCAGGAGCAAGTGGAGGCTATACTCGAACTCGAAGCCACTCGTATCGAGTGGTTCCGCGCAAACGGCTTCGAGCTCTGCTGGAACAATCACGAGCTGAGCTATGAGTAGAGGACACTGAGAATCAGGTACGAGGATGCTATGCGTGTCGCGGAGCTTGGGGAACAAAGCTATTTCTCACACATGTGGCTTATCGGCAGCATACACATCGGTACAATGTGCTGGAGGCTGTAGAATGGCAAGTCTCTGGAAGTAACGATGGAGTCAATGAAAGGCAACGACTGATATCTTGATATATGTCCAAGGGAGTTCGGTCCTTACCGGCGGGCCGTTCGCAAGATTAGTCTGGTGTTTATCCGCCCGATAATTGCGACGATCTCAGTATATTATACTTGCGACTTCTCTCATTTGCGACTTCTCTCAGCTACGGTTCCTTCCAGGATGCAGGTGGCGGCGAAAATCATAGAAACCCAGATTGCTCGCAATTATCAAACGATCTAGGAAGATCTCGAACGCAGGTGACATGCTCTAAATACCAATACTACATTGTTACCGGAAGGTGCTCGTATGTGCCTTGCATGAACTGTGGCCGAGGCAGTGGTCCGGTTATAACGCCAACCCAAGTGGGCGGCCCTAGCCCGGTGCTAACGAGCGCGCACAGAACAGGATCCACACGTCACAACCTGTCACAACCACCCATGTGGGGTCATCGGTCATGTTATCGCAACGCCACGGCCAAAACAAGAAGGAGGTTATCCGGCACACAAGCCTTGTCAAGAGCCCCAGTCCGAGGCTTGTCTTTCTTAGCCCCTTGCTTGGACACTGTCGGTTCCATTCAACGCATCGCATATGCGCACCAAGACATGAGCGACAATCGCAATCTAAACTCCATGGGGTAGGTCGGTAATAACACGACTATCATGCAGGGACTGAGGTCGACCGTGGTTGCGGTATAAAACTACAATGCAGTCCGCTGTTCGTTGTCTCTTCATCCGCATTCGCTTCGGACTACCTTCGCTCAAGGAAACCGGTTGTGGCAAAGATGGCTCCTGTGCTTTCATTCATCGTTGGCTCGCTGTTGGCTATTAGGGCTTTCGCCGAGCCGTTTGAGAAGCTCTTCGAAGTTCCAGAGGGTGGGTTGTATGCCGTGACAAGTTTGGATCTGTGCTAACGATTAACAGGATGGAAGCTTCAAGGCCCAGCATCTGATGCACACACGCTCAAGCTCCAGATCGCGCTCACGCAAGGCGATACCGCGGGCTTTGAGCAGACCGTCATGGACATCTCCACACCCTCAAACCCAAAGTACGGCCAGCATTACGAGTCGCACGAGGAGATGAAGCGCATGCTTATGCCCAGCGAGGAGACCGTTTCGTCCGTCTCTTCGTGGCTCAAGTCTGCCGGTATCGAGAAGTTCGAGACCGATGCCGACTGGGTGACCTTCAGGACCACTGTCGGTGTTGCCAACGAGCTCCTCGGAACGAAGTTCTCTTGGTTCGTTAGCGAGGAGAGCACACCCCGCAAGGTTCTCCGCACCCTTGAGTACTCCGTGCCCGACGAGATTGCCGACCACATCAACCTCGTCCAGCCGACTACTCGCTTCGCTGCCATCCGCGCGAATCACGAGACTGAGCGTGAGATCTTCGGTATCCAGCTCGCTTCTTCTCCCAACATCACTGTCAACTGTGATGCTTCCATCACTCCCCAGTGCCTGAAGCAGCTCTACAAGATCGACTACACTCCCGACCCCAAGAGTGGCAGCAAGGCAGCTTTCGCATCCTACCTCGAGGAGTACGCTCGCTACAGCGACCTCGCCCTCTTCGAGAAGAACATCCTCCCCGAGGCTGTTGGCCAGAACTTCTCCGTCGTCCAGTTCAACGGTGGTCTGAACGACCAGAACTCCAGCGACGACAGTGGCGAGGCCAACTTGGACTTGCAGTACATGCTCGGTCTTGCTCAGCCCCTGCCCGTCACCGAGTACAGCACCGGCGGCCGTGGCCCATGGGTCGCTGATCTCGACCAGCCCGATGAGGCTGACAGCGCCAACGAGCCCTACCTCGAGTTCCTCCAGAGCGTGCTCAAGCTCAAGCAGAAGGACCTTCCCCAGGTCATCTCCACCTCCTACGGCGAGAACGAGCAAAGTGTGCCCAAGTCTTACGCTCTCAGCGTTTGCAACCTCTTCGCTCAGCTCGGTAGCCGCGGTGTCTCCGTCATCTTCTCCTCTGGTGACTCTGGTACCGGCTCTGCCTGCCTTTCCAACGACGGCAAGAACACGACCAAATTCCAGCCCCAGGTAAGTTCTGAATGTACGAAATGCATATGAGACATATACTGACTTCGCACCTCTCAGTATCCCGCAGCATGCCCATTCGTCACCTCCGTTGGCTCAACCCGCTACCTCAATGAGACCGCTACTTTCTTCTCCTCCGGTGGTTTCTCCGACTACTGGAAGCGTCCCTCGTACCAGGACGATGCCGTAAAGGCTTACTTCCACCAGCTCGGCCAGAAGAACAAGCCCTACTTTAACCGCCACGGACGTGGATTCCCCGACGTCAGCGCTCAGGGCTTTGGCTACCGCGTCTACGACAAGGGCTCTCTCAAGGGCTACCAAGGAACTTCCTGCTCCGCCCCCGCATTCGGTGGCATCGTCGCTCTCCTCAACGATGCTCGCCTTCGCGCCAAGAAGCCCGCTCTTGGTTTCCTGAACCCCCTGCTGTACTCCAACCCCGATGCGCTTAACGACATCGTCCTCGGTGGTAGCACTGGATGCGATGGCCATGCCCGCTTCAACGGCAAGCCCAACGGCAGCCCGGTTATTCCGTATGCTAGCTGGAACGCTACTGCGGGATGGGACCCGGTCTCTGGTCTCGGCACACCGAACTTCCCGAAGCTGCTCAAGGCTGCTATGCCGGCTAGGTATAAGGCTTAGACGGGCGGAGGATATGTCTTGATGAATGTGCGATAGAAACAGATTTGGATAAGCTATAATTGAAGCATTGAAGAACAGCTGCTTTGACCAATCTTGAAGACCGGAGTGATGGACTGGTAATGTGAGCTCCTCGCCCTGTCATGAAGAGCATCGACAAAGTCTTCTATGCAGGGTCTCAACTGACCCCAATTCCGTTGCTATTCTATGACGCATCTTCAGATCTGCACGACCGTTCGTTCATTGTATCGGTGTTCTCGTAGAGGCATGCTGCACGCGTAAAGCTGGAGAGGGCGGGTATGGTTACATAAGCGGGGCACGAGCCATCTCAGCCGCTGGATGACGTAGAAGCTTCGAGAAACATCGCGAAGCTTCACGCGTCTTCCTGACAAACCTCGAAGCATCACCAATCGTCGCGCGTCGTCCACACTGTTCCAGCATCGTCCTCTATCTTACGGAATCTGCATTGCTCATCAACGCGCACGCAATCGGCTGCTGCCTGCACGACGCCTCCACAATGGCTATAAATCCATATCTCCCTGCTCTCCAAGAGCCCATCATCAATTCGAAAGACAAATACATCTACAGACCTACGATCTACAGCTACTCTTGAGCCTCATCACTCTACTACAATATTTTTCTCATCGACCAACAAACTTCACTCCTCGAACCAAGCACACCAGCAATGGCGTTCATCCTCACTCCACGCATGGCACCCGCCTATGAGGCACAGCAGTGCAACCCCTTCGGCTTCTGCGCTCCAGTAGCACGACCCACACACGGCTACCGTGTCTCTCGTCCTCAGCCTCGCCGCCCACAATACTCGCCCTACAACAACTTCTTCAGCCAGGTCGATGAACTCCTGAGCGAGATCGACCGCGAAGCTCAACGCGAGGCACAGCGCAAGGCCCAGATCGAGGCCCACCGAGAGGCACTACGCGAAGCTTACCGCCAGCGGCAACTACAGCGCAAGCGCGCACTTCGAGCCGACTTCCAAGTCAACCAGGTCGAGCAGGGGTGGCAGGTGGATGGAGACATCCAGGGCTTCGAGCAAGACAACATCAACATTGAGATCATCGATGAGCACACACTGAAGATCGCTGGTAACACCCAGTGGCAGTCGGAGAAGTCGCAATCTCAGCCACAGCTACCTCAGATCGAAGCCCAGCCTACACCTGCCGCCAGCATTGAGCAGCCCACCGCTACACAGTCGGAGCCGGAAGTTGAGACCACCACTGAGACGGAGGCACCTACTACTCGCGCCGCTACACCCGACAGCGATACCTCATCGCACAAGTCATACCAGCCCACCGTCGAAGACGACTTCGAAGACCTCGCCGCTGACTTCCCATCCTCTCGACCATCATCTCCCACCGAGCCACGCGAACCCAAGGGCAAGGAGAAGGCCGTCGATGAGCCTAAGAACACCGAGACCGCTGTGGTAACCCAGCCACAACCCGAGGTACCAGTCCAGCAACCCCAACAACAATCTCAGGAGCAGCCCCAACAACAAGAACGCGTCCACGGATCTTTTGAGCGCACTTTCAGGTTCCCTGAACGCATAGATGTCGCCAATGTGAGCGCTAGCTTCAAGGATGGTGCGCTCAAGGTGACTGTTCCTAGGGCGCAGGTGATGCAGGTTAGGAGGATTGCTATCTTATAAGTGGAGGTTGGATTATGAGTGGGGCGGAGTAATGGCAGACAAGAGCATGAATGCAAGAGATGAAGTCATGCATAGCACATGCATGGACTGGAACAGGAATGGTTTTGTAAGATATTTGCACACGGTGCTTAGACATCGGTTATGAATCAGTGATTGTTTAATTCAAACTTCTCATCACACCCTCTGTCTTTCCGCTGTTGTACACTAATGCTACTCACTTCATCCACCACCACACTTCCCTCCTCATCCCTCTCATCCCGACTCTCCCCTTATCCGAGGTTAGACTGGCCTACAGCATCAAAGCAACAATACCCAAAGCAGCGACCACTACACCTCCAGCTTCTCCTGCACCAATGGCAACAGCTCCCCCCGTAGCAGTGGATGTTGCCTGCGTCTCTGTGCCGGTGGTCTTCGCCTCGGTCTTGGTGGACTCGGATGATGCTGACGCTGACATGGATGAAGCCATGGAAGATGCAGCGGATGAAATCGCCGATGATGCGGAGGCGGCGGGGTTGCTGGGGCGGGGGCGGGGTGTTAGTACTGTTTCAGTGCGTTCAGAGCATGAGGGAGGGTGTTGGTGGTGTTGTGCTACTTCCCGAGCTGAGGGAGGAGGTCGGCGATGCTGTGTGGTATGTAGAAAATTACTTACGATTCCGCTGCGAAAGCGAAGCCAGCAAGAGCTGGGAGAATGATGGTGGAGAAACGCATGATGCTGTTTGGTGTTGAATGTCTTGGTCTCGTATTACTGTGTTTGAGCTGTAATTTCGTGGGAATTGGTATGTTTGCAGGTGAACAGGAAAGAGAAACCTACATGTACAGCTCAGTCACGCCTTCATATACTCTACACCTGTCATCACTACATTGCACGAAACCCCTGAGTTTGCGTTGTACATCATTCCGATCACGAAACCGTGATACCGTACACGACCACTAGCATTTGGTGCGTATACCCCTTGCTGTGCCTAATCATAGCATTGTTGTGGTTGATAGGTACGTATCGAGGTACCAATTCCTGTAGCCGTCTTGGCGGAATCGATGAAGTGGTACAAGAGCTACTGTGATGGAGGAAGTATATGGAGCTTCGCAAGCTTTGTGGCGGGTGATACCATTGAACCGGATGCAAATGGATTTGTCCTACAAAGTGCGGATGGTATACGCGTTTTGGGTTTTTGGTGTGCGTGAGCCACAGCAAAGCTATCTCAATCATCCCCGCATAAGAAGTACAACTTCAATGTCTAGCCCGAAAGAAAGCCAGGTGGTTTAAGTAAAATGCGCTCTCTTCTTCGCAAGGAGGTTGTTGTCGATCAAAGTCGTGGGATGTGATATGGCGATTATTCGCTGGGCTTCGCGCTCAAGATCGAGTCCTTTCCGCAAGTAACGTCCAAGATTGGGCCATCAATTTTCCTTGATACTGTTTGGGTCGTGTGCATGAAACTTCTCGTTTTGCGGCTGTAGTGGTTAAGTATAGAGACGACCATTCCAACGAACTCTAGCAAACCACTGTTATTAACTTACTAACCCTCTTATACACACCTAAAGTATCCTGCGAAGACTTAAAGCTCGAGCGCGAAGCCCGGAAGATATCTGGAAGATCTTGGTGTGAGGGAGGCCGCGACGAAGGGCGCTAGACATGATCGAGCTAGCGTTGATATGGACAAGCGCCGGCGATCTCTCGCTCTTCGCCGGCGATATCCGACATGAGCTCCTGCCATCGCTCCCCACCTCCCCTCCATCATCACAGTTCATGAAGCTCATGTATATCGAAATTTGTGCCGACGGAATGCCGGCCGCGTGTTCGCACAGGAGAGTCCTTAAGCTCGCCATTTGTGCTGCCTGTGGAGGCACGCCTCATCGCATCTGGCCACCAATCTTCGCAGGGGTGAGCGAAGGGGGCGCAGAAGAGCTGACATTCAGCCGCGTTTCGTCAACCTCCCACTTCACTTTCTTTCCTGTACTACTCATCGATGACCTTACCTGAGCGACGTATACCAACAGATGACCATGAGCAGCTCGCCTATTTATCCGCATGAATTGAGAGGACGTACGATCCGCCTGCTTACTGTCGAGCCAGACGAGCCATCGGCCCCGCTACGATGCCAACTATCAGAAACATGTCTAGACACGAATCCAACCCCGTATCACGCTCTATCATACTGTTGGGGCGCAAACCAAAATCCTGTTCAGATAACATGCAACTCGCATCCTCTCCAAGTAACACCAAATCTACATTCTGTCTTGCACGAGTACCGCCGCAGAGGAACTCAAGCGCTTCTCTGGGTCGACGCAATATGCATCAACCAATCCGACACTTCAGAACGGACGTCACAGGTCCGCATGATGGATAAGATCTACACCGAGGCGGAGTGTGTGGTGGTGTGGTTGGGCGAAGCGCAAGCAACCGACACACTGGCACTGGAGTTGCTCAAAGAAATACATGCGCCTTGGGCTACTTCTGACGATATCCCGATATTGGAGAACGGCAAGGATGCCCTGAGCCACGATGCGATGCTAGCGCAGCGGATGCCTCAGCCGTATTTTGATGCGCTGGCTGCATTTCTCTTACGACCTTGGTTCAGCCGAATGTGGATGTACGTATTACATGATTTGCTTGGAACCTGCGTATCGCCTAGCGGCCCCGTTAATATATCGCAGTATTCAGGAGTTTTTGCTCGCACGCAGGGTGACGATCTGGTGTGGAACGAGTACGATTGGGGAAGACTTTCCGGTTCTTGAAGCAACCGCGCGGTGGCTGCAAATGACAAACTGTATACTCCGAACAAAATTTGCGGTGAATGCGTTTGAAGACCCGGAGGCGCGACGAGTGGGGAAACTTAAGCTACCCTGCGCGTCTGTCTTGTGGTCAATCAAGCACTCAAGAGAGAAAGAGATGAATGGCACGCACGACATGCACGACATGCACAGCGTTTTCACTCTCATGACGATGACCCGCTGGTTCGGCGCCAAGGATCCGCGAGACAGAATATTTGCACTCGTGGGTCTATCGAATGAAATCGACAAGACTTTTGTGGACTACAACAAAAGCTACGAAGACATAAGTCAGGAGGTCAGCCATATGATTCTGGATGGTATGATTCAGCCAACCATGGGTTGTGTATTGGACATCTGGTCGTGTATCACTCGGGGAAAAGATGATGATATCAGGGACCAGAGTTGGGTTGTAGCATTATTTAACGCGCAAAGCTTCCATTACGCGCCAATGAACAATGGATACCCGTCAGTAGATTCGTTGATTAAACAAAAGCCGGAAATCCACTTCTCAACGAAAGAAGACAAAAAGGTAAGCATCACCTGAGTCTGAAAACTTGCTCTCGACTAACAAAACTACTAGGTTCTCCACATCCGCGGTATTGTCTTCGACAAGGTAACCCACCTTGTTTCTTTCCCGGACTTTGGAGGCCAAGTCGAACTACCCGTCGACGACAACAACATGCACAACTTTGCTGCCTATCGTGACTGGTCCGTCCGCGCGAGCAACCTCCTGGTACCGCCTGGAAGTACTGAGCCGAGCCCGATCTACGAACCGACCGGTGAATACACATCTGAAGCATTCTGGCGCACTCTATGCTGCAACCGCTCCGTTCAAGACGCAGTGGAGCCTCCCGTTGATGGAAGCGGCTATGCTGCATTCGCCATGTATTGTTACATTCATGTCAGACGCCACCGCTATCGCAATCTCAAATACTGGTATCTAGGCCTTGTTATAGCCTGTGTCTCAGCTCTGATGTATCACCTCCGAAGCAACTGGTTCTTGTCAAGCACTGTACTGCTCATCCTTCCCTTGCTGGCTCACTATGGCTACAGGACATGCAAAGGGCTCTTACACTCTGTTCAGGCTGATTTGCAGCTCAAGCAAAGAGACTTCGAGGGCTGTCACTTCGCTTGGATGCAGGGGCGGCAATTTGGTCGTACAGAGCTTGGCATGGTTGGTTTGCTGCCCATTTCGGCAAAGGTTGGGAATTGCATTGCTGTCTTCAAGGGGTGTAGGGTTCCTTTTGTGTTAGTGAAATCTGAAAAGGGATATAGGATCGTAGGCGATGCTTACTTGCATGGTGCTATGAATGGAGAGAGACAAGAGAGTGAGGGGGAGATGTTGAGGATTCTGTGAGATGACATTCGCTTTGAGGGCGCATGTTGGGGGGTTCACGATGGCGGTTGTAGTGCAGAAACGCTCGAAATGTGATTACATTACATTACATTACTAGATTATATATGAGATACTGGGTTTCAGTGTGTGGTAGGATATAGGAAAGGGAAGATGAGGCTCGAAGGAGCTGTCGACTATGGAGGTGAGTCGGTTAGACCTCAGAGCATACATGCCACTCCCAGCCTGTCTTCGTACAGCAGTCGATGCGATCGAAGTCCTTGGCAGAGACACTTCCAGCACTGGTAGTATCGAAAGTAATTTCCTGGCCTTCGTGGACGTTGGTGGATCCCCACTGAGCGAAGACGACGTTCTTGCCGGCACCCTCAACAGAGATGGTGCGTCTGTTATCAATTTGGCCTACAGTGTCGAAGACCTTAGTGGTGAGAACACCAGGCTTAGCCTCGTCGAACATGGCCGTAACGTGGAAGCGCTCATGACCCCACATAATAGTACCCGCAAACCAGGAGAAGTGGATCTTGCGAGCGCCAATATCGCCATCAACACGGTAGAACATACCGTGTCTCCAGCCTCCGTAGATGTAGAATTGCTCCGCGAAAGCATTGAACACGTAATCTCCCACTGTGATGACACCCCCGGTAGTGATGCCGATCTGCGTGGATGAGGTTTGGAAGATCTTGACAGCGAAAGGCAGGTTGAGGGTGAAGTATTCGTTGAAGTAGGGGCGGTCTGCGGGGCCGGGTACCATGGGCACGCCCTCTGATGGGTCGCCGCCTGCGATCCTGGTGTATGAAGGGGCTGTTGGTCTGGGTGCGGGAACGTTGCAGGTGCTTTGGACGACAACAACGGTCTGGAAGTCCTTTGTCTCGGTCGCGAAAAAGGTCGCGGCAGTAGTAGTAATGGTTTGAGTGGTCGTGACGGTGCCGGTGGCGACCTGAGAGCAAGCTGCTGAGATCTTGCTGGTGGGCCAAGCTGCGATAGAAGCCGGTGTTACGAGGTCACGCTTCTCAACGGCCCTGTTGAGCTCTGCTGCCATGGTATCGTTGAGCTTTGAGATGCTTGGGTCGTCCTCGTGCGAGAGAGTCTTGACGGCTACGATTGCGATCTCGTAAGGGTCGACAACGACGTCGTTGGTCACTTCGGTGCTGTTATCCGCGCGTCTGGCGTGTCTTCCGTTGAACTTGGCCGCCGTGACGATCGCAATTCCAGAAGTGGAGGTGCTTGTCACGGTCCTTGTGATTGTAGCAGTCTGGGGAGCTGGTGTGATAGTAGCGGTAGCGGTCGCAGTTGTAGTCGGCTGGGAGTAGCCAATGTAGCTGCTGCAGAACTCATCGCCGCTTGACTTGAGGTATGAGATGTCGCTGGGGCAGACAGGTACACCATCATCGCTCTCATCGGTGAACCCAAAGCTGTACTGGATGGTGTAGTGATCGTCGCCGCGGTATTGGCCATCGTTCGTCGCGAAGGAAGCATCCCACTCCTGAGTGTACATGGAGCAGTATTGACCCTGCGAGACACCGTTCTTGAGCAGAATGTAGGTGTTGAAGTAGCGGCACAACTGCGGCTTGCCATCAGCAGGTGGGTGTTCAGTTGCCCATTTGTTCTGCTCTTTGCAGGCAGCTGCACAGAGCTTGGCATCGAATGCGGGCTGGACGAAGAGCTTGTAACCCATGTAGGAGCCTTGCTTGTTGCAGTCGAGAGGAGAGTTGATCGCATTGTTCTTGAGCTCGACTTGTTTGTAACCCTCAGCAGACTGTGTCGTGAGAGACGAGTAGCCGTTGCTTCCAGCGATGGCGACCTCAAACTGTTCTCGCCACTGTCCGTTGTTGTTGGCAGTGTCGGTGTAGACTGGTCCGCCCCAGAACGAGCACTTGATGTTGGCAACAGCTTCGGGGTCTCGGCATTCGGGTCCTGGGTTTGCCGAAGGGTCGCGTTCAACATAGATGTTGAAGCCGAGACATCCATCCTTGGAATTACACTCAGATGCGCAGTGAGAGGGGTCGTAGGTCTCGACTACCTTGTAGCCAAGGTATCCGTAGGCACTGCTGGCACCTTGTAAGTTGGTGAAGGTGTTGAAGTATCCGGAGGGTGTGGAAGCACCCTTGGCCACAGATGCGATCTTGGAGTCGGCGCGGAACTTGCTAGCAGACGACAGGTCGAAGCCGTAAGTGTTGGGGTTGCTGGGCTCAGGGTCGCAGGCCCCACGCCTCAGATGCTTCTTGATCTCCGGTACGGCCGAAGGCTCAGACACAGGCTTGACATCGAGAGGATCAGCGACGACCTCGGAGACGACGTCCGCAATAGCCTCAGTTACTTCGAAAGGAACTGCTTGTTCCTTCAAGCCGGGAATGATGTTGATGACTGGGTCTATTTCTAGTTAGCATGATACTAGTCTTTCATCGAAGAGATCATACCAGGCGTAGCATCAACTCCAGCGAAGTCGATGTCTTGAGCTCCGACCACGGCGAAGGCCGCAACGGCAGAGAAAACGTATGAATACCTCATTATTAAAGATAGTGGGTTGCTCGACCGTAAAGAGTGACTGAGCGGATAAGTGAATGAGAGAAGAGGCTGCTGTTGCTGCTGGCTGTATCTTCTGTGCCTGTATGGATCTTTATATGTTCATGATGAGACCTTGCAAGAGTTCGTCCTCACTACGATCCAAACAAGTTTACGCCATGGAGGGCGGAGTCGCCGCAGCTGAAGCATGCAAACATCATGGCTTTCTCGAGGCGTAGCTGAGTGAATCGAGCAAAATCGTGCCACATATCGAAATAGGCTGCTCGAGTACCACAAGAAGGTAAGTCCTGACGAGCCACTTGACTCGTTCAGTCCCAACCTCGCGTAGTTTTGGTGGTTCTCAAGCCACACATCGAGAAACATACCACTTCTGCTGCCGACGTTGAGGGGCGCCCTTCAGTTTTCGATCTAGCTCTGCATCTGGCAGAGTCTCGCAGTCCAGAACATGCACGTGGGATACCGTGCGCGCTGCCGGCTCGTGGGGGATGTGAGGATAGAAGCTCGCTTGCGAGCGAGACCCGCAATGCCCCTGGCGCGGGAGGCACTAGCGTCGCCTTGGCACATCGTCTTGGCGCCTGGCAGCAATTCTCGTCGAAGCCGAACATTAAAACAACACCCGCAAAGAACAGTGCTCCCTCTTGGACGACAGCGAAAGACACCTGCTTATCCCTTGCAAATGAGGCCTTCCAGTAAACGGTGTCTAGCAAATGTACTTGCGGCACTAGCATGGGCATCATGCACTCATCTAGGGTGCGACTCCGTGAAGGTGCAGCTAACCCAACACTCAATCATGAAGTCTACTTTAGCTTCAACAGAAGCAATGGTACTATTTCGTATCCGACACCTTTAGCTCTTGGCGTGATCTCCACGTACCCAAATCGATATCCGGCGGCGGCTCGCTAACGTTCGTGGAAATTTGCCCCTGCCTCAAGGTTCCGTAGCTTGCGCAGGGTTCGGAAGTTCCTCCATCTCCTTATCTTCTCACCCAACAACCCGTCAACAAACCTGGGGAGTCGCTCTACTGCCCTGCTCTTTGCTCTGGAGACCATCGTGACCTTGCGAATACCTCGCCCATGCGAACTTTCAGAAGGTTCCGGTGGTCCCGCTGCGCTCGTCTAAAGCAACATGTCCACCCACGAGCGATCAAGACCAGTCAGTCCGGAGTGAACAGCCGTGTGAAAGCGACGCCCCTCATCATATACTGTTCGCGCTTCTTCCAGGCCACCGTCTGATACCTGGGCGTTGTTCAATCGTGCGTCGCGATTCGCATCAGGACTGGCACTCCCATAGTATCCTCCCGAGGTCGACCGGCGACAAGATGGAAAGCCTGGTCGCCCTAAGTAGCCTACGAAGACCTCGCATCGCATCGCATCGACCACATATGGCCTTTTCGAAAGTGTCATTCCTGTGTCCTGTTTCGGCGATCTTCGAGTGAAACGGCGCGCTAGAGCTAAAACTTCGGCCCGAGCACATCATAGCTGTTACAGAGACTCTGAAACTACTCATCAAAGGCAGGGCGATACTAAGAAAGCCATCAGCGCTTCGCATGTTCTGCATCAGGCCATTGAATGCGCATTGTGGCGGAGCTGTCAACGTCTCGCCACAAGCTTACACTTTGTCTGAATCGTCACGGATAACGGCACCACTAGCAAGCATGCGCAGTCGCTACAGTCTTCTCCTCAAACTCGACACTCAGTACAGGGACCCTCCTACTATCGGAATATTTGCATCGGCAACTGGCCAACTCAACATCTACAGACTTCCTGCACGCGCTCAGACGACCTCTGGTAGTGCAAACGCACGATATGGAAGAGCTTTCTCACTATTGAATGCCGGCGGTTTATCAAAATTACGTGGGGTAAATCCCAATAAACGTCAGCTTGTTTATACACTAGTTGATAGTCACTGTACTGTAAAGGAGGTACTGTTCACCCAGGGAATGTCATTTTACGTTTGGCTGTGGGCGGGTGATCAGCCTAAGCGTACAACGCCAGTCCTGTGCACCGGAACCAAACTTTCGTAAGACCAGGATTGGCCTGAGGCACGTCGCACACCAACGCAACTGGATTACACATGTGGAAATAGGTCGGTGGTACAAAGTTTTGCGGTTCCAACAACTGAATTCACGCAGGCGATCGACGCGATAGCAGCGCATCAACAGCTCTACACCTTCATGGAGGGAGGCAGTGTTGCAATCTCTCCCAGGATCCCGGCATCACTTGCCACGCGTCGCCTTCAAGTGCGTCTACAGGAGCAACCTGTATACGACCTCCGCGGACTGAAGCTTCGTGTTTCGCGACTAATTCTCCGTCATACCTGCGCACTGGAGCATCCCACTCCACGCTTGTGCACCCAACACTGGAATTTTGACAAGCATCTTTGCGCAACTATCGCTTTGACATCGATTAATATCTTCTCCTGAAGCCGCCACTAGGGGGCGAAGCACGCGTCTGGATAGTACTATGGAGCGACCAACGTTTCGAACGACCTGTCAAAACATTGGCCGTGCCTGACTACTGGCTCCACGCTTGGCAACGCTCGAACTTCAATGCACACCAGCTTCGCAGGAATCGCATTCATTCTTCTCAAACCGACAGTGAGGCTATTGACGCGTGTTGAGATGGCATTCCTGTGTCACGGATGGCTCCCAATAGACGACACATTGCCTACTGCTGCACCACGTCGAGTCCAGTAGCGCTCGGAAGGGATGATTCATCTTGACGACGAAGACAACCCTCATCACTTTTGAGTTGCTGTGGCGCGTAGTCAGACGACCCTCGTGATGTTTCTCGGTTCTAGCTCCATCGTGCTTTGACTCTTCAATCTCGCTACAACCGGCACACCAGTCGGAACGCACATCCCGCTAATGCATCAGCGCCTCCTGGCCTGGCGCGGTGCATGGATACCAACTCCAACAACAGGCTCGTGCTGATCCAAGCAGACAACGTTCAGCCCAGGAGGACGGAACCATGATCTCTCTCAGGTGGGCACGGGAGCACGGGTCGCACAGGCGAATATGAAAATCGGGAGTGCCCACCTTACTCCTCCCATTTCAGTGATCAGATATAATGGCTTTCGAAAAGCACGTCGTTTCTTACAAACAGAGATCATCTCTTGCCATTGTGCTTTCACCTCCCATTCCTTTAAGGCCCTTCTCTTCTATCACTGCTGTTAGTCACCCATACGCGATGTTCGACCACGACAAAGAGAAAGACTCCGGTCTGCCTTTCCATGAGCCTTCTACAGCACCTCCCTCGGAAGACCGAAGAAAGCATCACTTCCTACGGACTGAGGCCACAGCCTTCTTGGGAGAGCTTATTGGCACCTTCATGTTCCTTTCTTTGGCTTTCACTGGTACTCAAATCGCACTCAACGCTGCCGGCACCAACGACTTGACCGCAAGCTCGAACCCCATACCGGATGTGGGAAAGCTTTTGTACATCGCCTTCGCCTTTGGTATCTCTCTAGCCATTAACGTCGCCATCTTCGCCGACATCAGTGGCGGTAAATTCAACCCAGCAGTAAGTTTAGCCACGCAGCCTGTGTTCGTATGACCCCGGCACTTGGATAACACCATATGCAACATCGGGAACACATACAGCCATCATACACGTGCAGTGTAACAGACGCTAATCTACTTCTCCACAGGTTACTGCCGCCTTATGGCTCACACGAAAGATCCACTGGCACCGTGCACTCCAAACCATCATAGCGCAGATGATCGCTGCTATAGCCGCAGCAGGCTTCGTCTCCGGTCTTTTGCCTGGCGAACTCACCATCGACACCAAGCTTGACGCATCCATCTCCGTCACAAGAGGTCTATTCCTAGAAGCTTTCGTCACCGCGCAACTGGTCCTCAGCATCCTCATGCTGGAAGCTGGGTCAGCGAAACCAATGTACATCGGAATGTCGCTATTCATCGCCGAGATATGCAGTGTCTACTTCACCGGTGGCAGCTTGAACCCAGCACGCAGTTTTGGCCCCGCGGTCGTTGTCGGGTTCACCAGCTACCACTGGATATACTGGCTAGGACCAATGCTGGGTGCAGCGGTAGCGAGTGGGGCTTATGCACTCATCAACTTTGTACGGCGGGAGCAGATATAAAACATCGCAGCAGGACGACGTAATGAACAAATTATCTTTCGCTTTGTTGGCTGGTACAGCAGTTCTGGGGTCGATGCAAGTCATCGGGTTTTGAGTCCCACGGGTGGGATGGACTATGTGGGCACAGCTTGCTCTCTCCTTTGTCACTTGACTTCTTGGACTATTCTCTAGCCGACGTGAAGGCTCTGGTACCTCTTTCTTAATTAACATGACATTCTGTTACCTTCTAAAATCGCCGCGATGCAGTTCTACACATGGTGAATTAGAGAATACTTTGAGGATATCTCGATGGAATAGCTACATATGGTGAAGTAGAGAATACCTTAAAGATATCTTGATGGAATGTTAGCAAATTCCGACACTGCTCGCTCACTCTTGAGCTCATTCCATGGGTACCCATCACTTGGGGAAAGTATATGTACTATGTTCTCAGTTTCAAGTAGCTCTCTCTACGCACAAGATATACAACCACCTACTCCAGTTGCTTTGAAATACTACTACTACTGCGTCTATTCCAGCCCGTTCTGACCTCATTTGCTTTGAATCACAGTCGCTCAAAGTCACAGACGCGTAAACCGTATCATGAAGACTACAACGAAGAACCAACAGCGCTCACCATTTTTACGTCTACCTGGGGAGCTACGGAACGCTGTGTACGCGTATATCTTCGGCATCAACGACATAGTAGTCGTCCGGCGACATATACTAAGCATCCATCCACATCAACCCACCATCGGTCAGTGTATCCACGTCCTTGGAATCTGTCTCCAAATCCGGGCCGAAGCCACACCACTTCTCTACTCCAAATCCATAATATCAGTAGACGAGGTTGTGGATCTAAAAAGGCTCGCTACTCTCACTGGTCATGAAGCCATAGTGCATATCATCATTCCTTGGAGAACGGCTTGGACGTTGGTGTTGATGAACAACAGATCTTTCGGACTTGTGGATTTGGGGTCACAGCGCAATGCTATGTTTCATTCGTTCAAGGGGCTTAGGAAGGTGTCGATTACGCCCCAGTACCACGAGGTAGATTCGAGGGACGTGTTCCTGGCTATACGAGAGCCATTCAATGATCATGAGCTAGAGGTTGTTTGGTGGCAGGAATCGATACATTGAGATGGATACGAGGGTGATTGGAGTGTAAGATTGAAGAATTTGAGTATGCGCGAAGGTATACGACATATCCTACCACGATCCAATCGATGAGCGCGAGGTGACCGCTCTCTCACTCACCTTCACCTGATCAGCTGGTCCAAGCGCGTATGTGGTGCCTTGACCTCTGTAGCGTGTTGAAGGCTTTTTTATCCCTACTCACCACCAGGTCCGCTGTTGCATTGCTTACGACACTCCCGTCCACTACACTCAGCCATCAGGAAAAATGGATCGCGAAGCCATGTAAGCAATACCTGGCGATTACGTGCAAGAAATCCCACTGACAGAAGTACTAGCACTGCCGCTAACCAATTGGGATCTCCCCTCCTCCGACTTCCAGGCGAGCTTCGGAACCGCATATACGGTTTTGCCTTCTGTGGCAACAACACTCCCCGAACCGCCCTTCTCAAGACCTGCAAGCAGATCGAGCACGAGTCGAAGCCAATATACTACTCTCAAACCACCCTTTCATTCTACCACTTTGCGGATATAAGGTACATGGTGGATAGGATAAAGCCAGAATTACTCGCTAGAGTGAGGTCAATCCGCACAAGGGCCATGTCAACAAGCTTAACGGCGTCGGACTGTCTTCGGCGCAATTATAAGAGCGTCCGGCACACCAAAGACTGTCAGAGATATACAAGCTATCTACCGGGGCTGAAGTATTGGCATGTTTATGGGGATTTGAGTTCGTACTGGCAGGAACAAGTGAAGGAATGGATCGGGATGCTGATGGATCGTAACCTGGAGCTCACCTTTGATTTGACGGAGTAATCTCAAGGCGGTGGTTGTCGTACATATCGCATTCTCTATTTTGGAATCCCGGGTATAGAAGTCACTTCCTTGACATATACGTCTTAGTGGGGTATCATAGCCCGAAATAGCCCAGTGAATGCGGAGGGCAAGCGAGATAGCCACGTGCGCTAGCGCCACCTTGTACCATAACAACCACCCGGTCACACTTGACAACCTCAATCTCTTTCCAATTTCAGTCACAACAAACAAACTCTCCGACTGACCCCATCACTGTGCAAGCTCAAATTCGTCGAGGTGACAATGGATCTCGACAGCATGTAAGAAACAGCGACAGTGAAATGTCGACTCCGAGCTGACAGATTGCGATAGCACCGCTGCGAACCAGCGCGACTCACCTCTTCTGCGCCTTCCCGCCGAGCTTCGGAATAAGATATACCTCTATGTATTCGATGATAATGACATACATCTCGTTCATTACCGCCGCGACCTTCGAGTCCCTCCCGGCTCGCCTTACCCGATGAGCTTAGCGCAGAGCTGCACTCAGTGCCGCTATGAAGCCCTTCCTTTTTTCTGGCAAAGCACCATATTTCACCTGAGGTACCCCAATATGAGTAGCCTCGTGCTCAATACGAGCCAGAGCTTGCGCGACAAAATTAAGGTCGTTCGTCTTGATTATAGCGTTGCTTTTAATTTTCATATGGACACGCGTGGTCATGAGGGTGCATTTGCTGGGGTAAAGAAATTCGTGTGGGGATACGACAGGCTCTCAAGAAGATATGCAGACGAGAAATGGATGAAGAAGATGAAGGCGACTTTTGGAGAGGACGCTGAACTTATTGATTCAAACGGCAAAGGCTATGTAGCGGAAGACTGAGCATGACAACGCAAGGAAGATCTCTGTTGGGTTCATTGTAGATATTATAGAGGTGCGTCCGGAGTAAAAGGACTTCTCATCAAGCCGACTCAACATCAACAGTATACGTCCTATCATGATAAATCCTCTTATCGTTCATCGGCGCCGTGCTCTTATCCGACGCGCCATCGTGTATCCTCTCCCAAGCATCCTGATCGCGCCCATGATGCACAGCCGACAAGCTGAAGCCATGATCCGACGGGCCGTGGTAGCTGTCTCCTCCTCTTTGTCTGCGCGAGCGGCCGCCTGCGGTGATGGTCGTTGCCACGCGATGTTTGCTGTTCGGGTCGGTGCTGTTGTCGCGTTCGTTCTGGAAGTAGTGGCGCAGGGCTGGGAGGGAGGAGGCGAAGCAACCGATGCCTGTTTCGACGTTCGAACAAAGGACGATGTGGGCGACCCAGAAGGGGAGGTTGGTCTGGGACTCGAATTTGTTGACGAAGGGGATGCGTATCATTGTGATGATTGATGCGCTGGTGTTGTTAGTGATTGGTCGTACTGCTTTGAGAAATGGAGACTTACAGCGAGGCGAACGATAGCAGTCCGAATGCTTGAAGCTTCGATTGTCTCTTCATCTGCGTGTTCCATAGGATGATAGCCGGCACAACTACCAGGGCCATGTCGGTCAAGATTGTCGACACTGTAGCAGTGTGCGCGATGATGAGGAATGTCTCCGCCGAAGCGCACTCTCCGTCGCCACTCATGATCAGCGTCGGAGTCCCTGTATATATTAGTCAGTGTTGTCCGACCTGTCCATTGCAAACTGGGCATACTTACACAAAGCGCGCACCGGCTGGCAGTAAGCCAATGTTCCAACGAAGGTAACAAGAAAAGACGCCCATGTGACGGCTAGCAAGACCCAGACGGTAATTCTCATAGGCTTCTTGATCGATGCAATTCGCCTAATCGTGATGCACACTGACGATTTGACAGTCGCAAGTGCAACAACGTAGACCAAGATCCAGATGAGGTAGTACTTGATAGCTTCAGACTGCTGCCACGCATTGAGGTCCTCGTTCATTCTACCGAGGCCAGCGAGGCAGCCATAGATAGCAAGGCCTGTAACAGGGATGTATGCGATCTTTGAGGTCATGTTAGTATAGCCCTAGTCGCAGAATCTTTGGTGATGAACGTACCGTGCCAACAACCATGAACGCATCTTCCAAGCCGAATATCCTTTTCTTAATTCGGATATAGGTTCGCAACGCTACGGTAACGATGGAAAGGGCGAAGAAGATGGACGAGATGACGATGATGGCGAGCGGTAGACCGTCCGGTGCAATCAGCCTCGCAGAAGGATCGACATCGTTCATGGGCGCCGCCATTGTGGGTTCAAGACGAATATGATCAGCAAAGCCACAGACAGAGTATGTGCCTGCATCTCGAGGAACCTGCTATTACTTTATACGACTCCGCCGACATTGACCGCACCAGCTCATACCCAGTTGAAGTGGATCATAACAAATAACCACCAAGGCCCTCGACTCACGCTGATGCACCCGTTCCTCCTTCGCGCCGTTACCATCCTCACACTTCCCTGCCCGGAAACGGTTGTGACAGCCGCGAACTCGACTCGCTGCAGGGTCTGGTGCGTCATCTTCGCACCGTGCCCACGTGTAGCGGGAGGAAACATGCAGCCGTTCGGACCAAGACGACGAAAATCTTGCTAGAAAGGAGAGCTATGCGTGCTATGTAAGTAATCTGACACGTTTTTGTATCCATACAGCGACGCCATGGCGATGGTACCGAAAAACTAGCGGAGCGATCTCCCGCGCCGGCGATCAGGATGCCGGGTCTAGATGATGGCTAGTGACCGCTAGTCGTGTCTCGAGACGGGAACCTGACTTTCCAGGTCGAATCGAGAAGCTGAAGAGCAGGTGGACCGAGTAGAAGGTCCGGACTTTTGGCGCTGGGTCAGATCGTGGGTTCGGGGCGAGGAGTTGCTGCGATGGGGGTCCACTTCATGGACGGAAGAAACCGAACAGATGCGCCATAGACTACCATTAGTACAAACATTAAGGATTTCAAGATTTCTGAGGTAATGTAGACTTCTCTAGATGCGGGAGTGCAAGTCCGTTCACCCAGAGTCACTGTTTTGGTCGCCGCTTTGAGGCCATCACTGTAAATTGTATTGCGAGCAACTACTTGCGCACGTATTCTTCCCCATTTTCTTCCTTGTTGCACGCATATTGATACATCTGAGTATCGCTAGTCTCCGATGGGGTCCGCCCGCTTGTTTCCAGGATGCGAGAGGTGAGACTCATCCTATATGAGCCATATGTCGCAAGGCTTGTGTGATCGCGCCCCCTGAGTACACTTCCATTCTGCTCTGATGTCATATTATTCCTCCAGGTACTTGTACTCAACTGCGATTCCCAGGGCGGAGATACCACGCAGTATATCTTCCTGTGCCTTGAGGGGAAAGTGAGGAATATTAACCACACGAAGCTTCCGCAGCATCGGGAATTGCTGGAGATCCCACGGCACACGGAGTGGTAGGGCGCCGCTCCGATGAATTAAGCTTGTCACTGCGTACGAATCCACAAGGAGAGACGTGACGAGAGCGGAGTTTGCCGGGCCCATGTAAAGATTGACTCTTTGTATGTCACAGATCGCTTTGGCGTTGATGGTGCATCTATCCCAGAAGATTTTGGTAGCTTCGTGGCGGATCTGTTGGCAGGTCGCGAGCACGTAAATCACGCTCTTGTTGTGGCGAGGCATCGAATAATCCTGGGGTCCCCAACGCTCCTTCGCAACCACTTCTGAATCGAAGAAGACGTACTCATAAATGCGATTGCGAGTCTCTCCGGGAAGACGCAGAAGAGGTGAGTTGAGCTGGTTGTTTCGCGCGCTAGTATGGTCAGTGAGGAAACATTCAGGGGAGCTGCGTACTCACAGTTCCTCGAAGTATTCGGACGGGGGTTGGTTCGCGGTCATCTTCACGTGGGTGGCCATGTTGTTCTTGTGGATGCTGGGTGTCGTACAGTTAAGGTGAGTTATCTGCATGGAATGCGACCGGAAGGGAGAGCAATAAACAAAGGAGCCAGCAAACACTCGTTGACACGTCTGGATTAGCTCGACGCTAATCGCCATTTGCCTAGACACTTTCCACAATTGTGGAAGAGGGAAGAGGATTCGCCTTTGACTCAGACTGATGCCTGGTCTTGGCTCTATCTGATCAATGAAGTCACTGCAGAAAGAAGAGGCGACGGAGCTTATGACGCAATACCAATAGACGCGGTTTAGTTTGTGATAAGTAAGTGTAGCGCCATGTCTGAATATAAGACGTTACAAAGCCTATCTCCAATCGCCCAAACGATCTAAGAAATAAATACGTCACCTCTATCAATTACACGTCTCTGTGATACCTGAGAGGTACGAGCTTTGAGAATGAGACAGATGTATCTAGGCCTTCTGCGAGAGAATAATTGTCTCCTCGTCTAAAGATGGACCGCTCAATCTTCCTTCCCTGCCTTGATCAAATCTCCCCTGGCCCATCTATTTGTATTCAGAGCCTCATTATACCAACCTCTGTACATCCACCCCGATTACTATCCACCACGAGAACCAACGCCCCCAGCGTCCAGGCGAACGAAGAGTTTACAGGCTAGAGATTGATACTGATACCAAGGTCGCGGTGTCGCCACGGGTGATAGAAGGCGCGCGATCAGATGAAAAGCTGACATGGATGGCCTAAGCGCGAAGGAGAGAAGTAGTGCTTAGAGAATTGAATTGGATTAGGTGATGAGGCGGACGGATTTGGGTTACTCTCGTGCGTGCGAGGAATATGCGTTGGCAACACGTTGAAGTGCTGCAGTCGATGGCACTAGAGTATCGTCACTTAGATATCGCAACACGAAGACATCAGTAAACAGCCTGGTGACAGCAGTAGAGCAGTAACCACATCACAGCACCAAACCAACAGGAACAACAACATACAAATATAACGTTCATTGATATGGAGAATCCGTAATCATACTCCCTTAATGCTACATCCCACATCCCATCGCTAAAAGTAATAGAAAGCCAACAGTCAGTCTTTTCGAATACATTCTATTACAACGTATAGTGTTGCCGCAGCGCCGTGAGCATGAAAGTGGTATCGTGAAAAAGGCAGGAAATCCAGTTGCGCCAAATGAACATCGTGATTTAAACCATTTTGAACGCCAGGAAACCCGATGATAGGAAGAAGAGCAAAGAAGAGGAGATGTTGTACGTGTTGGTGTGGGGTGTTATTGCGGAAGCGACTGATGACAGCCATGCGCCTCCTGCCCAGCATCCAGCTTCTCACCCGTCCGCATACTCGTAGGAACAGAAGCATCTTTCTCAGCATTCGAAGCCACTTGTCGCGACTGCGATTGCGTTTGCGATACCTGAGTCGCCATCGCACTCCCATCAGCAGAAGCCGAGCGCTGCGACCCGTCTTCCTGGACATAAGCAATAGGACCCCAAATGCGCCAGTGAAGCAGTATAATATGCGTAATCCGATGAGCGAGATCAGTCAATTTCGCCGTCTCGGGATGTAAATGCGCAAAAGCAAACGTATCGGCGATGTTGGGTCGAGACAATGAGGGGAGAGGCGGCATGGAAGGAGATATGGAGACGAGCGCGTTGAAGAGTTCGATGGGCGAGGATGTGCTGTGGCGGTCGACGTTGGCGAGGATCTGGGGGAGGAGCGAGGCTTCGAGGCGGGATGCGTGCCAGGAAGATCTGCGCACGAATAGAGTGCGGAGGTGTTGGTTGGCTTCGGCCATGTGGTCGAAACTGCAGGAGGGGGTTTGGCCGGCGAGGTGCGAGGCCTGGCGGAGGATTTCTAGGGAGAGGGCTTCGGAGTTCAGCATCCATTGTTGGGGGCCGTGGCCTACGGCCTCGCCCATGATGGCGGAGAGGGCGGTGCGGAGTTGTTGGCCGATGGCGAGCGTCATGGAGCCTTGGTAGCCGAGCTGTCGGGCGAGTTGTGTGTACATCTCCATACAGACCTCAAACATGACGAGATCGTCAACCTCAGCCTTGAGCGATGCTAGGCGATCGTGGTCTAGGAAGAAGGTATCGGGAAAGTCACTCCGTCCGTCTCGGCCGAATGTGATCGCTGTGACTGCGCGAGTGAATACCTCCAGCTCGAAACATGGGCCAGCTCGGGGTCGTGGCGAGCAGTGGGGGCCGAACTCATCGACTGCGTCGGTGAACCAGGTTTGTGCTGTGTTGATGTTGACCCTTGCCCTACCGTGGACAAGTCTGTCGAGATGGTAGTGCTTCTCAAAGTTGACGCTGTCCTCGATCAGGAGCGTCTTCAGATTTCTGATCTGGTGGTTCGCGACGTCCTACATGAGTTAGCTTGAGCACATCTCAATTCTATCAGGCAACTTACGAGTTTCATGGCCTCTAGAATGCCGAACAGCTTCCTCAGGCCTTCTACGATCTTTTCGAGGTTGCGGTCCGCCTCACCCAGTCTTGTGCAAGTGACCATCTCGTCGACAAGAATATCGCGCATCGGCGCGCAGTGCTCCTTGAGTAGTTGCGCCATCCACTCCGACAACCGCCCCAGATCGCACACTCCTCGTTCGATAGCTTGCATCAGCATAGGAACATCGAGATGCTCGTCCACTCTGGAATGGTCGCGATCGGGAACCAGGCTCTTGAGAACATCGCGGACGTTCTGGAACAGGATCGGTATCCGCCGTTGCGCATATGGTGTGAAAGCTTCGACTTGGATTGGTGACAGTGGTGGTGTGCCGTGGAACATGCGATTGTAAAGTACCAGTTCTGCGATCAACGCTCCCCAGTACTTGTCTGCTACTCTCTCCTTCTCTTGGCCTTTGACGCCATCGACGTTCGGTCTGAAGCTGAGGTCTCTGTCGAAGTTGACGTCATGCCGTAACTTGATGTTGGTGATGATGCTCTGAATGTCCAGCTCGCTCAACGACTGCTTGGTAACTGGCGGTAGATCTAATGCTTCGAGAAAGTTCTCTGCCAGCTCCTCGCCAGACTGTTCCACTCCTGTCTCTCCAGGCATCATAACTCGTAGATATCCTGCGAGCTCTTCTGGGATGGTGGAGTGATAAAGTGATAACGTTCGTGCTGGACTTCCATCTCTTGATCTAACCTCGACAACTGCATGCCGTGGTCCTGACGCGGTCTCTTCCATCTGTCCATCCAAGCACGTCGTAGAACTATGCCATGACGTGGAGGCGCTTCTGTCGTCGACATCCATGGCCGACCGTGAAGCAAAGCCAGGTCCGAAAGAGGAAGCTGTGTTGACAGGCTTGGTCGGCTGGGAACGCATCTCCTTCCGCCGACGGATGCTCCCGCAGTTCTGCTGCATGGTGGGCCGGGTTCTCATAAGATGACGTAGGTAGGGTGTACGACGACGGTTGAAAGCGGGAAGGTGTCGAGCGCGCGAGTGTGCGTAATGGCGACGATGAAGCCTGGGGAAGCGAAGGCTCAAGAAAAGCGCATGGGGTTGCTACAAGCGCCAACTACCACTCGTTAGCTTACAAACTATCCAAGACAGAGCGGTTTGTAAGACACAAGCCAGAAACGTGTTCATAGGCTGTTTGACGCAGCGACGGGTGGCCGCTGGAACGAACGAGATAGCTCCCGAGTCAGACAAGCACGAAGACGCGGGATCGTGCTTAGCAAGTCGTACCTTTTTGCATGTGCCCTCGTTGGATACCAGATCAATAGGATCTCTTGTATGCCAGTCGAGGCTTATCTCATAGCAAGCAGGACAAAGTGGTCATTCGCGATGATGACAAAAACAGAAGAGTGACGATGCGAAGCGTGAAGAGACGGCTTCGTAGGAAAACCACTTTGCTGCAGAAGCAAAGTGCAACAGCGCGGAACGAGCAAAAAAACAGAGAGACAGACAGGAAGGGGTACTACTGGATGGAGTAGTAGGTAAGGCGTGCGAGTGCTGCAAGGTGACGCTGCGGAAATCAAACAACGTTTGTGTCGTTGTGGGTGGTTGTGCAAGGTCGGAGGCTGAGGTTAGGTGCGAGCGGGTGCCCTTGCATTCTTGTTTAAAAGACGGGCACAGACCTGTGACTACGTCGTGGATTATGCTCTGACCATATCTTAAATGTGCAATCCAATACTTTGGGACGTGGGAGGCGATCGCCACAGAACGACCGACGGCGTTAGGGCGTTCCGTAGGGGACCTCGGGCGTGTCTGGTGGGCGTGAAGCTGCAACGCGTGTCATCCCAGCGGCGACTGCACACCGCTAGTCAGCAGCGACAGCAATTAACAGACCTCAGACGGTAAACGCGGAGCCGCAGTAGCGCTGTCTCGCTCGCCAGACACGGTATCCGACGATGTCGTGAGGGAGCAGAATGCAGCAGATGTGCAGGCCCAGCACGCCGAGACCGCGTGCAGCCACCCGTGATTGGCTGCAGCACCGGGGAGCGCATCACGGCCGCCTCACTTATTGAAAGTAGGGCGAGCATTTGGCATCCGCGCTGCTATCCGGGGGGGATGAAAAGAAAATCCGGTCCCAGTCCTGTGTCGCTGTCCTCGACGCGACTGACCCAGTCTGACCGGACGCTGCATGCAGCACACATCCATGGACTGCGATGGCAAGCAGACGCGTCGCACGTCGTGTCCAGCTTCTAGACAGTCGACCCACCGACGTCAGTCGTGTTCCTGGCCCCTTCGATGCCATCATGAGTCGTCCACAAGTGCGATCGTCGGACGTCCTGGCGTGCGGGCGCGGGATCCAAAGGCGACTGAAACGCAACCGCTTCATCTAGCAGCCTTGCCGCTCCGACAAACTGCCGAGTGCCCAAGGACCGACTCGTTCAGAAGACCTGTCCGGTTCGTGTGTCGCAGATCGTGATGGGCAAAAGCAGAGCAGCCTCTCATGGTATGACAGATAAGCGACGGCTGGTGACGGGCGGACAACGGAGGGGCTGCTAGTAAGGAGGGCCCTGGGTGTGGAGAGGCGCTGGTCGTATATCACTTCGCGGGTGTGAGGCGATCTATACCGCGTGCAGCGAGTCTGGGTGGGACCAAGAGCATCTAGAAAAACGGGAACATGGAGGGCCCCATTTATCTATAATATAGTAGGGCTGGAGACGCCGGTGTGGTTCTGAGGCAGAACCGCGCCTGCTGCTGCGCTTAGGAAGTCGCGATGTCACACGATGCACTCTCGTTGGATCGGACTAATTATCCCCCTCGCCCGGCGCACGCTGAGTGGTTATCGCTTTGATTGTCCAAGGACTTGAACATGTTCGCAGACGTCCTCCGCCCGTCATGTGGTGGATTGTTGATAATGCAGGTCCCGACGTAAGCGCAAGGAAGGCTCGTTGGTAGTGTAGTATCCTGGAAGATCATTTCGCCATCGTCAGGCACCACTCCAAAGTGCCGAACAGCCATCATGCCTCACTTCGACTCTACATCCCGGTCCAGTCACGTCGACACGTAAACCTCGCAAACCCCGCGTTGCGTTGCGATTATGAAGGAAAAAGTTTCTCAACCGCGACAACGTGTCGTCTTGCGTCAGCTTCACTACGACAACACAGTGATTAGAAACGACGAAGCAAGCCACTTCATGGGGTATTCATGGGATATCCACGGACATGTTCCTCGTTATGAGGTAGTAGTTGCTCATCTTTGAAGAGTTTTCAGTTTGACAAAACGTCTCAAAACTAGGTGTATTGCGATCATCCCGTCCCCAATGGACAACTCCAATAACGAGCACGAGATACGATCACGCCATAGTCTGGATCAGATGTGCATACTCTTCTTTCATGCGTCTCTAGGGTGTTTCCTGCTTCAATAACCAGCGCGAACAAGATCATGACCCAATTCTGAGTCAACGGCGCACACTCTCCCTTCGTCATCTCCCAAAAGTTGCCACTTCAGTGATCAGTGCGACACAAGATTGAGTACAGTATGAGTCAACGGCGCGTACCATACTGTCTCTTGTTCGAGAATCTTTCCACAGCTAGTATCTATCGTCCATCCCACCCCTAGACTTTCCCGTCCTCTACCTCTACGAATCTACCCGCCCTATCGCATCTCCCTCGTCCACTCCGCCTCATCTTCTACCCTCCCCTCCCCTCCCCTTCCTCCTTCCACCCTATCAACTTCATCGATCTCCCTCCGCTCAGCCCTCCCACCTAACAAACCTCCCCCTTCCACCATCCCCATACCCCCTCCCTCCTATTTCCCTCTCCTTCTCTCTCCTCCCCCTAACCCTCTCCTCCCTCACCCCCTCCCTCACCCCCTCCCTCCCACACTGCCTACACCAGCTACACTCGCCCTCAACCCACATCGTCTGGCTCAACCTCGCGCCCACCGGACACGCTCGAACGGGGTTGAGCGAGCGAGCGTAGGGGCACAGGCGGATGTAAGGGGATGAGGGGGCTGGAGGACAGGCGCAATGGGGGTGAGTTGTGAAGGTTATGATACACATGCGAGGCTACAAAGTCGTTGGAAGTTGGCCTGGGATTTGGGGTAGGGTGGATGTTGGATGTTGGTGCGCGCGAGGGGGTAACGTAGATGTTGGTGCGTTGTTATGTATCCCGAATGATACTCCAGGACAGTATCGTAGCCGTGCGAGCGATGACTCTTCTTTCCCGTCTCGATGTACCAAAAGCTTGGTATTACTCTTTAATCGTCGATGAACGGGACAAGCTTTAGACTAAGTAAAGATGGCACGATACAATTGTCGTAGTGATACCGTGAGGATACTGGTACCTCATCAATACATACCTACAATCTCTCATCTCGTCTTATCAGCAAGCCATCTTCTTTCAACACTGCCACAATGTTTTTGCTTCAAAGATACGCGGGTACAAGAGACAACGGTACAAGCCAACCAAGCGATTGTTCAGTGTAACAAGCACACTACCCGTTTGACCAGTCGCAGCAAGCTGTCGTTTGACCTAACAACGACAACGAGGCAGGCTTTGCAAGTCGCTATCGGAAAGAGCAGGCGCAGTCATTGCCTTTTTATCCGACCCAGTCGGAGAACGTTGGTTTGACAGCACAACATCAGCCAGCATCGCTACCAGCGAAGCAGACGTTACGCGTTCCTTCTATTATCCAAGGAGAGCTAGTCGCAATCCCTCTAACTCTTCTGCATTCCTCTTCGATGTAAAGGTTCCTCGCCCGAACGATGATTGATCGAAATTTCAGATATTTGAAGCTTTGTATAGCTCTCTCTCATCAGATGGCACTCGAAGTATATTGTACGAAGACCAGCAGTGTATACAAGCTATTACAGTGCTACCATCTATTACTACTGCGTCGTACAATTGGTTAGACATCGACTCTGGTGAACGCTGTCGTGAGTTAGCTTAGATTGTATGAAAATAGAGATGAGGTTTAGTAGCACAGAGCAAGGCAGAGCAAAACGGAAGAAACGAGGCTGAGCCAGTATTCCATAACAAGGAAAATAAGTATTATGATAATGTACGTTTTTCATCGTGCAACGGCTTTCCCACCTAGCCACGTATACACAATCCGTCGGTCGGTCGCACAAGCAGCCTAATCCACACTATCTGCTTGCTTGCGTGCTTGCTAGGTCCAACGGTTAAACCAGGAACATCGACCCGACTACCGCTTCAGGCCGACGTTTGCCTCCGGTTTGAAAGCCCTAATATAGGTACCAATTCACAGCATCCTAAGCCGCAGTATCCATAGCCGGCTCGCTCTTCGTCTGTTTACCCGTACGACCACGGGTGACTTCCTGCTGTTGCTGTTCTCCTTTGTGTTGTTGGGGACTCCTAGCTTCCTGTTCGTCGGAGCTGTCGTCGATGGGGGATTGCGGGCGGCTGTCGTTTAGGTTGCGGCGGGAGCGTGCCATCTAATCATCTTGTTAGTAAACTCATCCTCTCAATTCTTCATGTCCGCGTATTTGCGGTTAAGCAGGGTTATGGAGATGGAGACAACGTACCCAAGACCTCACACCACCAATCAAACCCAAATTATACCCAGCGGCAAACTCGCTACTCTCCCTCGTATTATTCGCCCTCGGAATATCAAGGTGACTGAGTCGCGAAATCGCAGAAGGAGAACGAGCAACCGTGGCTGCTTCCATGGTTTCCGCCTGCGACTGCTCGCGCGTGGGTGTGCGGGCAGGGGATGCAGGGCGACTCGATTGCCAGAATTGGCGGAAGTCTTTGCTGAGTTCCTGGCCGGTTGTTGTCCAGTTTGCTTTGATGCTGTCGCGCAGCTCGGCCATGGTGCGCTTGACGTCGAGCTCGTTCTTCTTGAGCCAGGAGACGTTGAGTTCTTTGCGGGAAGTGCCGCGTTTGAGTTGACGGTCGATGTATTGGTCGTAGTCGCGGACGATTCTGGGGTGTGTTAGTATAGGCAGGAGGAATTGAGTTGGCAGACTTACTTTGTGATGATACCTGTTGTGCTGAGACCCTCAGTTCTTTGGGTGACGAGGAACATGCCTCGCTCCTTGATCGGGCCGTAGATATCGTCACCCTCGTCTGCGCCGTAGGGAAGATCGTCGTGGGCGACGTAGTCAATGTTGTGCTTCAACAGGAACTCGGCGGTCACGATCCACGGGCAGTCCTCGATAACCTCGTCGACCCATTTGCAATGGCGCACGCTCTCAGCACGTTCTCTCGCCGACAAGACGGTAAGACCCTTGCGCTTATGTGTCTCCTTGTTACCAGTAACGCCAACTATAAGCTGGACGTTGGGGAAGGCCGTCTTGGCCTGCTGGAGGGCGCGCATGTGGCCAATGTGGAAGAGGTCGAAAACACCGTCTGCGTATATCCTGACCGGGCGTCCCTCTGGCGGCGGGTTCGTCTTGTAGCCTACGGGGTCGACCAGGCCAGCTTTGGGCGGAGGCTCCATGCGCATGCTGCCGGCTTCACCACCCTCGCCGTGGTCGTCGCCGGCGAGCGATGACGTGCGCCGGCTCTTCTTGCTCGCGCGCTCATCCTCGTCGGTATCTTCGTCGCCGTGGGCGCTCTTAACGCGAACCCGCTTGGTGGTGGTGGTGCCATTAGCATCGGCCTGGCGCTCCTTCTTGGACGCGACGGCCTGGAGAACAGGGTCCTCGGCACCCTCGTCCGAGGCGTCGCGCGATGAGGGCTGCACAGCGTCCATGGCGTCTTTCTTGACCGAAGATACAGTGGTGGACCGCTTTCGTTTTGGCGGCATAGGCGTGGGGTCGAGGCAATTACGGACAATTACGCTGCACGTGCAAACTCAAAAACTATGTTGAGAGGGCGGAGTGGTCTGTAGGTGTGGAGAGTAGGAGTAGGCGTCGGGTGCGCAATGCCCAGATATGGGGGAACACGCGGGTGATAACGGTCGAGGTCGGGGCAATTATGCGCAAGCGCCAATTAGATGGGTGAGGAAGTGACGACGGCCTTGCGCAGCATCGCAGACGCACACAGCAGAGACGGTGAGACAGTAGATAGACAGTGGATAGACGGTGACGGCGTGGCTAGTATAATGTTGGACACGCGTAGATTGCGTCTAGCTGCCGCTCCGTAAATTCTCGCGCTTCCTTGAATCCTGATCTGATCGGCACCTTGGCATGACGCCAGTCCGCCCAACGCTCCCTGCGCCACACGCTCTTGACGCGAGCGGACTGGTTGAGCGCTCCAACATGGCCCACGTGTGGCATTTCCCATCCTGATTCCTCGCATTTGCATCATTCGCATGTGACAGGGGCCTGCCAACTTCTGGACTCTGGACCCTGATATTTAACAATATGTCATGATACCTAGGTATGGGAGATCAATGTCGGAGGTCTGAGCATTGAAGGCCAGAGTGCTATCATCTGGACATAACCTCCACCACCTCCCTCCACCTCCCCTCCACCTCCCCCACCCACCCATGCCTGCCAACTTCTGGACCCTGTGCCTGATCTGAGAACGTGTCATCATGCCTTTACGTCGAAGTACTCAGATGTTGAGGTCTACAGCGTACATTGGAGAAAATACCATTCGCATATCTGGTTGTTGCGGTCAAGTCGCGCCGAAAAGGATATCGTAATCCTCACAATCAAAAACATAAACATAGAAGGAGTAGAGCATCGAAGTCTGAGCATTGAAGATCAGAGTTCTATAATCTGTATTGCAGCTCTATTAGCATAAGTGTGTATACTCTTACATAGTACACTCATGCGCTCGACGCATCCACCTCATCCACCACCCAAACCCTAACCTCCCCATCATCCCCCGTAGTAAGCACAACCTCCTCCTCCTCACTCCTCCTCCCCTTATCCGCCCTCTTCGCCCAACAAACATGATTAATCTCAAAGACATCATGCCCAGAAAATAGTTCCGCAACAACCACCCATTCAGTCGGACTCTGCGCTTGTGCGCCATCAACGTTCATCTCCTCCCCACCAGCCTGTCCTCTCCACCTCTCCTTATAAACAATGACTTTACCATCGCTCCCCGCACTAACAATCATACCCGTCCTGCGACTCCAAGAAACCGAATAGATAGCGCGTTCGTGAACCTGTGGCAGAACAGCGTCTTGATACCACTCCTCGTCGATAGCCGCCGAGCGGATGATACTAGGGACGCCCGTCTTATTACTCGCGTTGTCATCCCCCTCTTTCGCTTTCCTACGCCATATCCGTACCGTGCAGTCATCCGAGCAAGTCGCGAGTCGCGGTCCCGATCGTTCCAGCTCCGTGATATATTCCGCTCGCTGCTGTTGTGACGCATCCGATATACCAGTAACATCTTTCCTCCAATCCCGTCCACCCATCCCACCCCCCTCAAACTCCGCCCACCAAACCGTCTTCCCATGCCCCTCAATCATACTCACCTGAACCCAATCATCCGCATCCTCCTTGTACAACCTAACCGTATCGTCGTAGCTCGTGCTAACCAGTAAATCTTCCTCGGGGTGCCACGCCACGCTCTTGACATCGCCGTCGTGTTCCTGCAGCACAGCAACCGTTTCAAAGTTATCGTCTTCGAGCTCCTCCCATATCCACACGCTCTTGTCGCGGGAGCACGTCGCTAGATATTGCCCGCTGGGACTCCAGGCTAGGCATTTGATTTCGGATTCGTGGCCGTCGAGGATGCAGGAGAATTGGTAGTCGTCTGCGTCGTCTTGTTCGTCTCCATCACTATCTTCCCCACTTGCACCAACCCTCCTACCCGTGAAGTCCTCTTCGCGTCCCACACCACCCTCCTCCCTCCGCCATATCCCCGCACTACTATCAAAACTCCCAGTCGCCAACACACTCTGGCCGCGTGTATTTGGTTTCCAAGACACAGTCCGCACGCTGCGCTTATGCCCACCCGTTATAGAATGTAGGAGCGTGAAGGAGGTCAAGCTGTAGACGCGGACGCTGCGGTCGGAGCACGCAGTTGCGACGATGGGAAGCGAGGGATGCGGCGCCGATTGCCAGGTTCGTGAGTTGGAGGGTGGTGTGAGGGTTGCGAGGGGTGTGAGTTTGTGGGTTGGTGTGGTGGTGGTGGGCGAAGACATTATGAGGGGCCGCGAGGGCGGGCTGGTCGCGATGGGTGGAAAGCGATTGTGGCGGGTTGTTGGAGGTTCCAATGGGATCAGGGATGGATGTATGCTGTAAGAGGGCGTACACACTAGCTGGACTTTGGTAGTGGCTTGCAGCCGGAATTGAGTCAATGTTTTTTGGGCAGTTCGCGCGTGGGGCATAGAAAGTTCAGATGAGCGTCATTCGCCAAGCCTCCCACCATTGCGGGTCGGTCTGCGTTATCGGACGCCTCTGGCCTTCACATATGCTTCATCTTGTCTTTGTTCCAATACATCTACTTTATTCTTCTTCCTACATAATATACATATTACAAGCTTTACACTCTTTTGTCAAAGCCCTGAAGCAGCTCCCAGATCCCAAACGCCTTCCCGTGAATCGTGAATGTCCCTCGTTGTGTCATCGCATGTCATTATGAAGGGTATTCCAATGCCAACAACCTCGACGCCGGTAATGCTGCAAAAAAAAAAAGAACTGTTGAAAAGACACCATCCCACCGATCAACGGTGTCTACTTCCGGATACCGTGGTAGCCTGGCGGGCGAATCGCGTGCGGGTCGCGGAACGCAGTGGTAATAGACATGAGTCGGTCTGCCAGCGTCTGTTGCTCCGTCTCCGCCATACCAACATTGGCGCGAACACCAAGATCGTGGAGCTCTACATTCGCACCCGCCTTTGTCTCGTCCACATGGATGTTCTGGGTCGAAGTGACCATGATGCCTCCCCATGGATGCGACGAAGGCTCAGCTTGAGAATGCGTGGTGCAGTTGACCAGACCCTTCTCCGAACACGTGTCTGCTTGCTGCCAGCTCAGCTCCGTTGAATTCGATCGCTTCGAACGTAAACCGCGAGTCCATTTGCCGCCGCGGCTGCTGGGTGGCATCTTCGTAATGGAGGGTACGCGTCGGAGGCTGCTAAACTCTTTGTGGTTCTTCTGCGCCAGTATCGCGTGGTCGGCGCATCCTGGCTGTGACCTCAGGTACGTCTGGAAAAAGGAAAGGGGAATAGTCTTCAGTGTCAGGCTCTGCAGCGACTGCACGTAAATTTCCTTGATACCGCAGAAAGCGAAAAGGGTGGCCTGGCTGGACTCGGTCTGCCCGTGCATCATGTCAATCTGCTGCGATGAGAACACTGAACGATGAAGAGTTTCTTCGGGACAGTCTCGTAGAAGTTCCATGATTCTGTTGCGGAACTTGTCGAGGAAAAGATCGTCCTCTGAGTCGGTCGCGGTCCGCTTGTTGATGCGCACCAAACAGTCGTCCAGACTGCAACCGTTGAAGGTCGTGAGGATGTTCAGCTGCCGACTGTCCAGCTCGTCGCTGCTCAGCTTCACCATCGGGATGCGACCAGGTGTAGCTCGCGGTACGATGACGTCCAGGCCTCTCATACCGGGCTTGGGCTGTACGAGGAAAGATCCGATGTAGGTTCCTTTCTTGGGAAGGGATAGCTGCCTCTCACTGAAAGCTTGTAGGCGTCCAACGAGGTTCTCAAGATCATCGCGCTGTATCTGCAGGCTGCGCGCCAGGTGATCGCTGACCTGCTCGACACTCGCGAATCCGTATCCAAGGTTGTGTAGCCGATGTGCCTCGATGGTGTCGACCTTCTTTGTAAGTACAAGCATCTGACCTCTTCCGAATAGGATGGGGTTGACCGCTCCAGCTTCTAGGTCCTTTGTCGCTACGTCTGCAGCCACGATGGTCTTGTTACCGTAGTTGCCTGTCCAGATTGCGCGGTTCATCACCGTACCCGTTGTCAAGACCTCCTCATAAAGATTTCCAAGATTCTGCAGGCTCGTGTCGAGTGTCTGCGCAATCTCGTGCGCTGTGACACAGAACAGCTCCCGGAATGTAGCCGAGTAGCTTATGTCGTCATCGGCCTCCAGAGACGATCGGCTGTTGCTTCCGTGAGTAGGCGCTTGGAGGTATCCTGTCGCTTGTAGATGCTCTCGCATCGTCGGGATGAGATCGGAAATGCCGGTCCAGTTGCGCGATACTCTAAAGATCCACTGGAACACAGGATGCGATGTGTTGAATTCGTCGTCAAATGTTCTTTGGTGGAACTGGTGGGTGATGGTCTGACATGGCATCAGTCCGCTTTGACTGACGAGCAGTCTTCCTTCCGGATCGAATGTGGCGATGGCAAGAACGACCTGTTGAGCTCGGTTCTTTTCCAATCGACGTTGACGCTGTTTGATGAAGCCGAGAAGGAAGCATACAGCACACGCACTCAGGCACTGAATTCGATTAGCAATGCGCGAGGCTCGTAGAACGTGTGACTTACAAGGCAAAGAGAGATGATGAGGTTCGTGTTTCTTTCTTGACCAGGCCCGTCGTGGTAGCCGCGGATCTCATACCAGGTGCCAGCTGCCGCAGTCCAGTGCATGCCGCACACGGCCAAAGCGAGTACGACGGCCACGATGATTCGTCGCCAGACGTTGTTCATCCAATGCTTGTTCCAGTGGAAGAAGAGACTGAACGAAATGAGACAAGCGCCCACAGCGATAGATGCAGCTCCAACGACGTGTGGCCAGCTGAGGATGATCCGGTAGTTGGTAGTGCCGTTGTTTCCCAGGTAATGCATCTCTGTTACAGCCGCTCCTCCGCAAACACCGCATACGCCCAGTGATGCGAACCGAACGAGAGATCCTTTGCTTCCTTTGTAGAACTTATCCGCAGCCGATAGTCCCAAGAACATGACGACCACCGGTAGGACAGCCGATACAGCGGTGTAAGTCGAACTGTAGTAGAGTTGAATCTCTTCTTCTCCGTCACCGAGCACGATCGCCCTGTTGCCGACGAAATGCATACACCAGATAGCCACCAGTCCGAACGAAACTGCGCAGCCTCCTACTTGTACCCTAAACTGGAGTTAGTGGTTGTCGTACAGCGAAGTAAGATCAGAACGTACCACGACCGCCATCCTGCTCCTGAAACTCTCCGATGTAGCAACTCTACAGTTGTGAAAGCACCAATGAGGCTGACAATGTATGAGCCTACAATGAGTGCAGGAAGAAAAGATATAGCGGGTCTGCTCCCCAGCGGGTACTTGATCTCGATCTCTGGGTTCAACATTACGAAGCAGTTGTTGATTGAGTGTTTTGAGATGTGTCGTACTCTCGTGAGGCTGATAATGCGCCTTACGTTCACTTCCTCAGCTGTGAAAGCTGCACTCTGTCAGTTGGTCATGTTTGTTGCATTGATGAACGAGTGAGATTACTCATTACTTACGTTTACAGAAGAGGAGTGAAGTGAGATGGAATCAGCCGAGCGGAACCGCACTGGTATAATCGCCCTGAATGTGTTTCTTGGATGAAGCTCGTCACAGTCAAGTGGTTTGCATCATACACCGCAGATCGACGCAGGAAGGCGATTTCGGTGTTTCGTTTTGAGGATCCAAGTCAGGAGGTGACCAGCGTCTTGTAAGCTAATGACTTTTCTGGGGTCCAATCGCGCGTATGCGGAGGTAATGGTATATGTAGGTTCTCCTCGCAGCAGTCAAAACTTAGAAGTCGATCGGAGGGGTAGCCGGTGAAAAGAGGGTTCTGCAGGTGTGTACCTGAATGCGTTCCGGTGGGTAGTGTTCCCTTCTAGACGTCCGCTGAAGTGGAGGACATAGTTTGCGCCTGATTAGTCTGGTGCGGGAGGCATGACAGCGACACCCCGTCGCACGAAGTCTCCACACTCGTCTGCTGGGACCGATCACATAGCTCCGCCCTCTCCATGCCGAGATGCCCATGGCGCCAATCCAGTTTTCCACGCCACAGCTCTGGCCCCTTCATGCAAACGACCTTGATACGGCTTGGGCCTATTAGCCTAGGTGTAGTGGCTTCGCGGCGTGGCCTCGAGTAATTTCAAAGTTCACGAATCCCGTTCGGCCTGACCTTCTAGCCACTCGCGCAGCGAACGCGGCCCGCTAGTCATGCATCTGTCCCCAACAGGCCGTGGTCTCCTGCTGTGTTACAAACGTGGCTGATGGATCTCCGAAGGACCGTGCTTTCCCTACGAATACGTGCGAGGATAGAATTCGTGAGCGGGATGTGAATTGCAAGCGACGAACAACCACCGCGGACTGCACGGCCAGAGGCGAGTGTCATGCGGCCTAGAATGGGGCCAGATGTCATCGCGAAGCTAGCGTGCAGACTCAACTCTGGTACCTTGGCCGACTGATCCCGGGTATTAAGACATATGGTACGGGTGGTAATTTGAGTTCATTCAGAACGCCAACACGGCAACGAGGGCGTCTCCGCGGGGAGGAAGCTGACGCTGATGAAGCGTGATTTGGCCAGGATGGGCATGTCGCACACGCTCTGGGCATGTTCCGCATATCCAGAGCATCGGTACAACAACCATTGATTGACGAAACATTGTCGGTCTCCACCATGATGTAAGGTGATGGATCTTCGCAAGGCACCTTCTCGACTCGAAGCGCCCTGTCATTCCAATGGTTCTGCGCAAGCGACGAACGCCGCGCTTCAAGGCCTCGATTGTAGGGACTGCCGTGCCGTGTATATGAAAGAGGACTATACCATTAGCATGACAACAGCCAGCCATGTTCAAACCCAGGAGGCGGTTGCGAAATGCAAAACTTTCAACCCGATGGCCCGTTCGAGTGGTAGACTCGGAAGAGCCGAGTTGACATGTGTCGCCATGCTCGCAAACCTGCCGTTGGTACGACGGCACATAACAGTAGTGAGGTGGAGACAGAGCGTGCTTTCCTCCGATCGCAGATTCTCAGGACGTGGCACGGCCTGTGCCCGATAGCCGAAATTGATCACCTCCCGTGCAGCTGGTGGGGCGCGAATCACGTTCAGAGAAGAGGTCGACGTTGGAGAGCGTACAACAGCTGCAGAACAATGTCATGCCGTCTCGCAGCTCTCGCAGGCATGTTACACGAAGAGCCGCTGACCTCCGACATACAGCAGCCGCTTTCGCTTTGCCGGCTGCTGAGTATGTGGTAACTTTCGTGAGTGTTTGCATTCCGAAACAAAACTTGGTTCGCTTAGTGCAACCTCGGCAGCGGAGGACGCGAATCATTGGACATCGGCGACGTTGAGTGACAGGAAAGTTTGGGCGGACCTGTTTACGCCACGCGGTTCACTCCGGAAGTACGAACAAGACCAGTCTGTCTGGTGCAGAAGGGGTTCTGGTAGTCGAAGTTTCTTTGAGTCCGCGCCACGGCAGTTGGATCGGAGTTGAGCAATCGTTCTGTGGAGGCGCACGCCGTCAGGGACCAACTCGAGATGTACAGGTCCTTTTCCTGTTGAGTGCAGGACCTGCAGGATGATGTGCAGCTTTAGCCACCAGCCAAGCAATCCTAGAGTGCAGGAGGACTCCGGAGTAAGGAAGGCCGTCTATGTACACGATTCATGCTTCGTGTTGCGAGGTTGTGGCGGTTTCTTCGAAGGGCGTTCCTGGAAGCCGTGATCTACCTACACGTGCATCACCCCATTGCTGACTCGATGGATGGTCGACGATAGGCCCATGGGGTGATTGTTCCCAAAGTCGACCCATATGCTATTGTAGAACCGGTGGCAGAATGCAGGAACGCAGGGTAGTTCCGTGAGGCTCAATAACAGAGCCGACTATGAAAAGCCACATTTAGAGTAACCGGATATAAATATCTTCGGAGCCATACCAACGACCACGTGATGCTGCCCTTCCTCAATGAAACGGGTGTTAGCTCGCTTCGGCCGAAAATCTATACAGCCGAAACTCTATTCTGTAACAACAATGCTAGTGAGCTGAAGTCCAAGTGCGACCCCTTTGTGTCTAAGAGACTAGCAGCAGATCCTCGGTATGATCAACGTCACCTTCAGCTGACATTTGATGTAAAAGTTCTTGCTCGGCGTTCGGCTGCTGTTGCGACGAAGGTTGTAAAGTCTGAGATGACGAGGCACCCGACTGCGGAACATACATGTCAGGTGTAAAGAGTGGATATGTAGCTGGGCTGCCGGGCGTATGAAGCTGTTCATTCGTTGGACACGCTGTAGTCGATGTTGCATTTGGAGAATGCGAGTCGAGGAGCAGGTCGTCATCATCGCGAACATCGAAGAGCAAGTCTGGGCTGTCAAGAGATCGCGCTTGTTGTTGGGTCGCTTGGGGACCCGCTGTCAATGCCGACTCATCCTCGAAACACTCGTGCAGGCCGTCAGCCTGGAATGATGTAGTGGGCTGAGTATGCTGCCAGGCTTGTTCCTCATCCGCGAGCATGTCGTCAGAGTCTGGCTGGGCTTGTTGAACAATAGGCGCCACACACGGTTTGATCGGGGCCATGGGTTTATCCATGAGACTTCTTTGGGACTGTACCCATAGATGGCTTGCGATGGCTGACTCGGCTTCAGCGGCCTCATAGTCAGCGTCAGGTAGTGTTGAATCTAAGCGACTTGACAAGGCTTGGTGCGCAACCATCTTCAAGTCCTTTATCTTGTCTCTTAACGAGATGGATGCTGCCTTTACGCTGCCGATTCGGCGTATGGAACAAGCAATGGTAGGTAGGAGATGAGCTCTTTGGGACAATGCCTGCTTACGAGTTAGCACTGCACACAGGATGAGAAACATCTTTCTCTCACGACAAGATATCCGGTCTTCCATATCGCAGGAACGACATCGGCCAACCCTAGGCGGAAAGTGCTCGCTTTGGCCTTCAGTCCCAGCGGGGCCTTGCTGAGAGTACCAGAAATCGACAAACGCAACGCTCCATCGACCATGCTGGCAATCTCTATCTGTTCTGGTAATTTGGGACTCGTGTGGGACTTTCGCCGCCCCGCAGAATCGTTTGTCGGTCGATTGCGCCTTCGTTTCGATATTTCTGCCTGTTCAAGTGATGCTGATTGAGTCGATACCACACCCTCTGTAGCTGGTCGTTTTCGTTTCCTGTGCGCAGAAGCCCTCGGAGCAGTTGACGTGCGGTCAATGTGTCCAGCAGGCGATAAGTCCTGGAGTTCAATCTCGTACAGAAGTGCATCAGAGTCCTCTTCTTCTAGAGTCGCTACCTTTCGCTCACCCGGGGATGAAGTCGTTCGTTTCACTGCGGGCCTCCTACGCGGGCTTGCTTCCAGAATGTCCATGCAAATGCGTATGGACAGGAGTGAGACTGACGCGATTCCCTTGGGCGGTTGAATGTCTACCGCTGGAACATCCGAGAAGAGTCGGTGACGCTTCTTTCCTTCTTGCATGCTCGTGACTGAGGAGTGGTTGATGTCCAGACGTATTGTCCCGGGGTCCATTGCGATATCTGTTCGATGCGTTGGCGTCAACGTCAACTGATCCCAGACCTACAATTTGTCAATATCATCCCAAAACAGGAGCAATTATACTCACCGGCGCACCAAGAACGGCATTTGCGAGGTCTTGCAGCTGCTTGTTAGGCAAGTGCTCATCGCGTAGACTGAGCGTCATGTCAATGTGCATGTCATGTCCACGGCTCACCCATACAGCACCAGATGTCAACGCGTCTAGATATTCGGCTGATGTTACTTGCTGTAGGTAAGTTGCATCCTGTTTTGGTGAGATGGTGATCAATGTTGTGAGCCAAAGCTCGTGATCAGTAGCAGGCGAGCTGAGCACTGCGCGCCCGAGCTCGATTGATCTCGACATTATCGTCCAACCAGACTCCGGTCTGTGGAGGAGGCGAAAGCAGCGACATGGGCATTGCAGAGATTGGTGGAGCGACGGGGTCTGAGATTGTGATGTATCGTTATCGGTGCCAAGAGATGGGTTCGGCAAGCACCCTGAGGGTTGTTGCTTCCTCGCGGGCTCGCGAGTCCTGCAACCTCCACCTCGCGTCGCAACATGAGGAGCCTCACCACCAACGCGCTTCGGCGCGTCAGTCAAGCTGCATTGCCCCAAAACACCATTTGCAGTTCTCCAGTAGCAGTCGCGGGCTCAATTGGTCGAAGACATCTTCATTGCAGCCCCTCGCGACGCACCGATGGCGTATTTCGAGAGCTCACGTCGATGCGCGTGCGCACCCCATGGATAGAAGCCTTGCGCCAACAGCAGTCAGAGGGGAAACAACCTACGGAGCCTTCAGGAAAGCCCGAAGTACCCAAAGATCGCAAGCTGACAGGGAAACGTATGAGCGAGAGCTACCATTCGGTTGTACTCCCGCTGGCTCAGGACCCATGGATCCTCGACACGTATCTTAACGCCTCAGGGCACATACGGCTCGGAACCATCTTCATGGATCTCGATGCTCTCTCTGGCATCATTGCGTAAGCGTTCAACAGCTACGCGTAGTAGCTGACCTGGTCTGAATGCTGCAACAGGTACAAGCATACCGGAGACGACGTGACTACTGTTACGGCTAGCTGCGACCGCATTACCATTCACTCCCCACTAACCGAGATATGCGATCTAGAACTATCTGGCCGTGTGACCTATGCGACTGGCAGAAGCAGTCTGGAGATCACGATGCAGGTTGCCAAAGCACCTAAGAAGGGCGAGCAGGCCAAAGACGAGGACGTCTTGATTAACTGCACCTTCACCATGGTTTCGCTAGATCCAGGCACCAAGAGGTAAAGATCAATATAGTGGGTAAGGATTCTGGCAGCTAACTGGTCCGCAGGCCCGTAAACGTCAATCCTCTAATCGTCGAGACGCCCGAAGAGAAACGTCTCTATGCTCTGGGCGAGCGTAACTCGAAGGTGCGAAAGGAGCGTCGGGACACCTCTTTGCTCAAGCATACGCCGAACGACCTTGAAAGCGACCTCATACACGCCTTCTGGCAAAAGCAGTTGCAGTATCATGGTCAGTCGTATCGCTACCACTACTCATCGCCCAACTAACAACCGCAGACCCCTACGATGACCTACGCAAACCCGATAACGTTGTCTTTATGGATGCGACGCGTCTCCAGACCGCCACAATCATGCAACCGCAATACCGCAATCGCCATCACTTCATGATATTCGGTGGCTTCCTTCTCAAGCAGACCTTCGAACTCGCTTTCACTGCTGCCGCAGCCTTCGCACACGCTCGCCCGACCTTCGTCTCCCTCGATCCTTCCACCTTCCAAAACCCAGTGCCCGTCGGTAGCATACTATACCTCACGGCTACGGTCGTATACACAGACCCGCCGCTGATCGGCGCACCGGATGAGAAGGTCGACGATCAAGCCGAATACACACGAGTGCAGATTAGGATTGACTCCAAGGTGCGAGACGTGGAGCATGGCCACAGCAAGCCGACAGGGCAGTTCAACTATACGTTCACGGTACCGAAGAACATCAGGGTCATGCCAAGGACCTACCAGGAATTCATGATGTACATCGATGCAAGGAGGCGAGCTGAGCAGGTCAAGCGGACATTGGAGGAAGGATACGGTGTCAGCCCGAAGACGGCAGAGGATAGTCTGACAGAGTGAGGACTGGACGTCACGTTACAGGCAGGAACAAGGCAGATTGAAGTCTGGGTCATTGCTATACAGCGTGCGCTCAGCAGTATGTCCTGTAATTCAGCTTATACGAACAGTATCCAACAAGTTGACCAAAGTCTCCCATAATCCCGAACGCCTATCCCAAGAAACCCACATCGAACAAGGCCTAGGAGCCGGTGACCGCGCCTGCGTGCGCCGATAAGCCAAATCATATAATGAAAAGGTATAGCGCGTCTAACACAGGTCGAAAACGTGAAAAGGAAAGTACCGCGTGGGATTGATGCTGCATGCAGCATGCACGAGGCTGACGGTACAGGACGTGCATCAACAAGGCGGTGAGCCTCATCCAACCAATAACTGCAAACGCGCACGCGTGCCATCACAACGCTATGTGAAGTCAAGACCGCAACGTGTAAATCGCCCTGCAGGACAAGTCAGCTCCCTGCCATTTGCCATCGGACGTGTAATCCGTCTCCGCGCATCCACTCCACTCCACACATTCACTCACCCTGCATACCCGCTTGTCTTCCCGGTCAGCCGAAAGGAAAGGTGAAGTCCACCCTTGGGCCTTCCACTCTATAATTCATCCAACTCAAACTCCAACGCCACGTCTTCTGAACAATCAGTGCAGTAGTAATTCGAGAAGCCGCCGCATTCGATCTTCATCTTGGAACACATGTCGATGGACCAGGCGTCGTAGGAGTAGCCTGAGAGGAGGCGCGAGGAGCAGACTTCGATGCTGTTGGCCCTGTGGTGGTGTTAATTGCGGTTTGAGGAACTGGGGATTGGGAGAGGTGGAGGGAAGGAAAGAAAGGGCGTACCAGATGTAGTAATCGTGGTTACAGTAATACCACGAGTATGTGTATGAGCACATCTTGAATCTGACACCAGGTTGTTCGTGGGAATTGGTTGGATAGGTGTTTGTGCTTGGGTATGCTTGCCGGCGGAACGATGGCTGTCTGGATAGTAGTGTCTGTATGTGTAACGATGCTATACATATACACGTTAGCTGACCGCTTCTTCCCCTGTAGATCTCCCTTGCGTTCGTGGGTTGTGCTTCCGCGGAACATGGAGTGTGGATTCTAGACCCTGCATTATAGTCGTGGCTCCAACGGAGCTGTATGCAAGATCTATTGTTTACTTGGTACTCACCTGCAGGTCTGTTACTCCCGAAAAAGAAACCTCAATTGTAAGTCTTGGAGATGTGCTCGTGCCTTCTTGATGTCCTGTACTTCAAGTTTACTTTGATGATGTTCAAAACAGCTTTGATTCAGTATAAGATCGGTCAAAAGAGCTCTAGAAGGACATCACCGCGTCTTTATGCTCATCACTTCTGACTCTTACCAGGGGCTTGGGCCGACGGCTCATTGCAGATACGCCGATATGCTTCATGGCAGTCCCCCGGATTAGCTGATAAGACGAGGCGGTGCTTTCCAACCAATCCAACCAACCACATGTTCGTGTCATCCAAGATGGGAAGCCGAGCCGGGGGATAGATCCATGGCCCATGCTCGAGGTTCGGCTGTTCTGAGGTCGCGTGGAGAAGGCGGTGGAGGTTCAAGCATGTCAGATCGATTTGGTCTTCAGCTCCTGACCTTCTTTCAGCCTCGACGTAGGGGGTTGGAGTTGGATTCTGACATCTAGTGTATGATCAAGTGTGTTCTTTGACAAGTCTAGTACTGCATTCTGACGATAGCGAGTGCAAAGGTGTGTCAAGACACCCCAGACTTTCCTTCTCGCCGACGACCGGTTGGACCCTGCGTCTGCGCTCGGGACCTGCATGCAGGGACCTCAGTCTAGCCGGATCGGCCAGCTTCACTTCTGATTGGACAAGGCAGACCGGAACGAGCAGCTGTAACGGCCTCCGGCCTTGAGATAACGATAGTAAAGCTGTTGAAGATGGATTGCATGACTGTCATGTAGCTTCTTGAAAGGCTGCTGAGTGAAAAGGGTGCGATCGCGGTGTCTCTGTTGATCACGTGCCAAGATGTGTGACCACCTGGGCAAGATGGAAATAAAGACGATTGAAGATTATACCTAGATACAAGCCGAACTTCTTTACAGGGACTTTCACGCGATCTTCATCCCCTCCCGCGTGTTTGATATTCGCAAAACTACATCCAGATCGTTGCTCGTTGCGGCATCGATCAAAGGCCTCCTGCTTCGGTGAAGTCGGCGGTCTTATCGGCTAGCGTGCGATAACCGACAATGCCTGGGGTGTCGGCATCGCGCAGTCTTCCAGCTTCCAAGGTTCTTCAGCATCGTGAAATGAAGTCAGCCTTGAAGATATCCAAGGCGGCGATACGATGCCGACACTGACCGTGTCACCCGTCACTCATCACGTGCCGAACCTGCCCCAGCGCGCCCTCGATCTCGGTCTCGGTCCTCCCTTCTCAAAACCCGCCGGTCTCGCCAAGCAACATCCAGGAAATCGCCCCGTCTTTCTAGTCGCAGACAAGACGGGGCATCGCATCGTCATCAAATCCGGCGCCCCGATGGCTGTCGGGCCTGTCGCACCGCAATGCCGAAGGGTTTCGATGGTTTTCGACGTGTATTGCCTGTCTGGGCAATGTTGAGGTCTGGGTCTGATGGTGGTGTCGCATGTCGGGCGGCCGACCCCGAAATTTCACGGGCGTCGGCGGTGTTGGAGGGCCACCGTCGGCCGACGCTCGCGAGTAGGAGAGGGATGCGGGCTATGGATACATTATTTCCCGAGGCTTGGGTACGGTGTTGCAAGCCAGTAATGCGCGATACATTCGCAAACATACTCCAGTTATCTCGGCATCTGGTTGAGTCGCCGCATCATTCCTGGTTTGGTCGGTCTTCTGCCCACCCAACGTCACACCAAAGACCCAAGTGATCGCTGAAATGCGCTTCCGACCCCGATTCCGCTCCATCGGCCGACGTCTCTCCACCACAGGATCTCACTTCGCTCGTCTGCAGGATGCGCATGGCTGAAGGGTTGAGGTTAAACAGAGCAACTTTGTCCAACCGGTTTGGTGGGAAAGACTGTTCACCGTACACGCCCCAAGTATGGCCTGAATCATTCGGATGAAGCTCTGCCCACGCATCCGCAAGACCGTTGTTACTGACTAGCTCGTCATCTTCCGGAAGAATGCAATTGAAGTCGCCGGCGATGACCCCTTGGCCAGCAGCCCCGAGGTATGAAGCGCAGATGGAGACTTGACGCGGCCTCATCGACGGATTGATTGGCAATGAATCCAGGTGGACGTTGATAAGCCGAATTCGAGTAGGCTTTTTCTCCGACGTTTGCTTGCCCGAAGAGTTGAGGATCAGATCGCAGCACAACGCGTCTCGTCCAAAACGACTAGGTAATGCGACCCTCCAGATTGCGCCTAGCTGGATACCATCGGTGGCTACCCAAAACTTGGACACCAGTGTGATGCTGATGAACTTATGGGTTCCGAAAGCCGAAGCGTTGACATCGCTGATGTACCAGTTTTGTTGTATCCAGGAATCTTCAAGCAGGGCTGTAAGACCCTCTCTTGATACTTCTTGCAGGCAAATGACATCTGCAGCTCCGGTGGTTTTGATAACCTGCAGTAGTGAGGACATACGGGACTTTGGTAACGGCGCATCGGCGTTCACGTTCCAGCTGACGAGGCGGAATGAGCCCGCCCATTGGTGCTTAACGCCAGGTCGAGAGGCTTTACCACAAACGAATGGCATCCGGCGGTTTTGATGGAAGTTGTACCACTTCTGGAAGTTGGGCGTTGCGGCAGCTGCTGGCAAAGGTGTTTCTTGCCACCATGATGTGATGTGAGTGCGCATTTGCGATAGCATGGCGAAGTCGTATTTGTGGTGTTTGCCTGAAGGCGTGAAGCGCAGAAGGATGGCTTTTTGGTCGTTTGTATAGTGGCGGGATAAGGTGAAGTCGTGATAGGCGTCGAAGTAGTAAAGGGGAAGCGATTTGGTGGTCTACAAGTTATGCGCGCGAAATTTGAAGAAGCCCTTGCAACGTATGGGTGTTGGTCGTTACGGGTTAGCGTTGATGCCGTACCAAGGTTGAACCTTCGGTGAGAAGGCAACCGCTTACCTATCCACGGTCGCATTGCTCTTAGTCGCGGGATGCTAGGGTGTATGCCCTCATTCTCAAAGAGCTACATGGTATGTAGTCGCCTGCGCTGAGGATGTGAATATGGATACGGCTGACATTTCATTGGCGTGTTTCAGGCAGCCAAGAACTTCTTACGCATCATGAAATTTACCTAGATAGTATCACAGACTCTTTGCTTCATCCATCTCGTCATTTGGGGATAATGCCTACATGCTCCGTCTCTCCAGCATTAGATTAGCATCGCGCCTTCCACGTGAATTTGTCTCGGACGGACTGCGCAATGCTTTATCGTGATGCATGTGTCGGAGACGATGATATGCCAGCGAGAAAGTGTTCTTAGCTGCTTGTAAGCTTGTGGATGCGAAGCTGATGTAATGGGTGCTGGTTTTTTCTTTGAAAGTCGACTGCAAATGTTCTCTATCTGTGTTTTTTTGTTCATGTAGCTATTAGATATAGTGAAATACATTGGTACACATATGACTATCTGAGACTGATCTGAGAAAGCTATTCTGGCATGAAGTCTTCGTCGCAGTAAAGATATGCAGGGGCTTCAGAAGTCCACAAGTAATCGAGAGAGCAGTTCTTGCAAGCGTGCTGAATGTCGTTTTGAACATTTCTGTACCCTTTTCTGTACCAATCGTCTGGATCATGTTTTCCACATTTGTGTGCGAGTAACGCTTTGCGGAACCACGCCAGATGTTCATGGACTCTGTTCAGACTAGGCTTTGCCAATGTAGGCTTGATTGCAGCGTACACATCCCATTGAGGGTCCGATACAATCCAGAGTAGAATCTTATCGTCGACAGATTCTCTTCCCTTGTGGAAGATGTTTTCTCCATCTCGCCACTCGCAGTTCCAAATCACCGCTACCATCTGCACAAGATGCTTGATCACCCACGTAGTGTCGACTTCTTCAGATGCTGAATTCGTGATGTAGGCGCATATTCCGGTGGACATCGCTGCTGCATTTATGAAAACACAGTCTTGGGTAGGGTCGGAGACACAATAGGGCTTCACTGAAAGCGAATGATAGGCCTTTGTGTATTGGTAACATGGTGCGTAAGCTTTGTGAAGCACCGCTCGTGGATTCTCACAAGTGCGCTTGATGAAAGTATCCAGACGTCTTGCCCATGGCGTGACCTCGCGGTCGCTGTGAAAGCTGAGGGCAACACGACCATCCAGTTTCTCTTGTTCAGATGCGGTGGCACAAAGCACGTTAGTCTGGTCGCTGGCGTAACGCCGAAAGTAGCTCTCAGGACTTGAAGCCCAGGCTTCACGCAGCTTGAGCTCAAGTACGTCGGCGTGAACAACTAGCTCTTCCTGCACTGCGTCGCCCATTATCCACATGCCCTCAGCGACTGACTCAGTGAGCGCAATATACGTCAACTCTCGAATAGGTGCACCGTCACTGTCTTGACGGTATCGCAAATAAAGCGAAACCAAGATTTTCTGCTGTGGAAGATCCTCAACGTCTCTGGTATTTTCGAGCCCGGTCCATGCCTGTTCGATGATCTTGAGTCCCTGGGCGCTGGATAAGAAGAACCAACAACGGCTCGCATGAACCGTTCTCAATCTTTCCCAGCCCGCGCCCATGAAATTTTTCTTAGCATCATCATCGGTTTCAGTGATATACAGTCCTCGTACTCGTGACTCGTACTTGGCGCTGTCCCAGACCCTAATATCGATATGATTTCCAGTGCTCTTAAAGAGGGGTTCGAAAGAAGGCACAATAGTGGAGTTTATCGCATCGAAGGCTGGTTTCGCAAGCACCTCAGCCGTTTCAGCTCTGCTAATGGCAGCGAAAGGTCCATCGCCAATCCGAGAGTTGGCGTAACCAGTCCTTGAGAGGATGTCGGGGTCTGCGGTGACTGTGTAGGATGACTGCTGACCTTTGTCTACTACAGACTTCAGTTGTCTAATGATATTGGGCCGGTAGATGTCACGCGCCCAATCAACGATGTAGTCCATGATGAGAACTAATTGGAGTGCTGCATCGTGGCGGGTGATGCTCCCCTCCCATAGAAGGATGACTTTCTGCCGAGATATTAGTAAACCCGTTGGAAAAGCCATGTATCAACTTACGTAAGAAGGCAGACTGTCTGGACTAGACTTTGTGACGTAACATCCGTATACCTTCCATTCTTCTCCCCTGTACGCAAGAAACCAAGATAGCGGGCCTCCAGGTACCTTCATCTTGTTGTCCGGGTCATCTTGAAGTTGCAGCTGTAGGTACAGATGGTTTCGTATCGGTATTGCTGTTTGCGTCTCGATGTCTTTCCAATTGCCATCGCCTTTGTGGCTCTTGGCTTCCATCGCTAGGAAAGGGTATATGCAGGGTTGGTCACCACCGTCTGGATTGCAGCTCATAGTCAGTCTCTTAGACAGATATTTGAGTGCAGTGTTCTCTCCCAAGTGGGAAATGTGTAGTTGCTGCAAACTCTCCGCCATAGCTTCGGTAGTTCTTAGTCCGTAGACTCGATCAGGCTGCTTCTTAATTCGATGACGATTCTCCGGGTCGTTCTGGATGAGGCTTCGCTCGCCAATACGATACGTGAAGATATCGGTCAGTCCTGTACTCAAACTAATCACATGATCAGCTGTGATTCGCTTGCTTGGTGAATCTATCGACTCACATGCTATGCTGTTTTGCCAATGGCTCACACGAGCATCCTGAACGACGTTTCTGACGCTCTACGAGCGACATCGTTCGACTGTTACTGTGTTTCGGATCCACCTGGATGCAAGATTCCCACAGACGTCTCCGACATCCTTGGCTACTTTCGGTCAGCGTGCGAGACATGAAGTAGATCAAATGTATCATACCATCCAACTTCGATCTTAAACCGTTTAAAGACGTAGGGCTCAAGTTCCATTCTCCAGCTATCCTCGTTCTGGTGATCATCCCTCGATCGAACAGCCCAGTAGATCATCTGCTTAGCCCGCCTCTTGTTCTCGAGCTCCCATGGCTTGTCGATGGTGTCAGGTCGAGGTTGTATCGCATACGACTCGTAGCTCATCTTGCCCAGTTGCTGAATATGCTTGAACTTTATCTGATGTTCTTCAGGGACATCTCCTGGGTGCGGTGGGTAGAATTCCGGATAGAACTTGATGCGGAACTCTTTGGCTTTTGCCTCGTCTTCAGCAGCTTTCTGGCAAGCTGTTCGATTGTCGCAAACAGCATCCGCTGTTTGTTTGTCGGAAACAGCATCCGCTGTCTTCTTCCCTTTCTGTTTCTTTGGCGCCGGATCCGCATGTGTAGCTGAAGCTCCACCTCGTTTTCTCTTATTTCCAGTACTAGCAACAGTCTTCGAGGCTTGCGCATTGCCCCTGGTTCTCAGCGTCGGAGCCATGAGTGCTGATACGGAAAAGGTAATGAGATCTGGTGTAGTCGGTCTGAGTCTTGTAGGTAAGCTATGGCAACTTTGCTCCTCGACAACAAATTGCGACAAAATGTGGTGCGGCTGGCGCTGGGAAGTTACGACCAGATCAGCCGGCCGGGGTTGCGTTATAGGTGCCTTGACTCTTGGGGCCAAAAGGCCCAGCAGCAATCCTCCGCGCAGGCAGCATGTTTCGATGCATGAGCTTGAAACCGCCTACTAACTACATTCCGCCCCATCTTCTTACCCGAATCTCGCTTCCCCCACACTAGCGTGGATGCGACGGATGTTGATGGCCTGAGCGTGCATCAGGGGGATTCGCGCATCGACGTTTTGATCCATGGATCAATCACTTCCTACACTTCTCATGTTGCGCGTCCGTCATGGTGTGGGACTGCTACGCATTCGTTGTTGGTGTTGTTTCCCCACGCGCTCCGTTTTGCTGCGGGTCCCTGTCACCGCCCCCGAGCTCGTGCGTCATAGATATGACATTCTTCATCCTGCGTCTACTACGATCTCAACACTAAATGAAGGCAACGCCTATAGTGGGCATTGCGTGCGAGATGCATCGGGTCCGCTTATCTCTTGCTCCATAATCCCATGCGTTCCAGGGCGTGCCATTCCCTTCATCAGCCAAGCCACTGGTCGAGCAGACGGTCGATAGAGAATTCCATGGGGAAGTATCCGATAGCGTCGGTGGGTAGGTAGTCGATCCAGTCACTTAAGGGGCCACGAGGATCGATCATGCTCACGGCTTTGACGAATTCCCAGGACTCTGGATACCAGCCTGCTGCCTCCCAGTCGATGATAGCCGACACTCGAACGACCTTATGTTCAGTTTGCACCACCTCACCCTGCACTGGAATAGCCTGGCTATCCTCCAGAGTCACCATGATATTTCGGGGGTGCAAGTCACCATGAGTCATTACAATGCGATGATCGTCCTTCATAGAGCTCCGAAGCATTTTGACCCATGGCGTTACCGTTTTCTTGGGGTGCTGGAGAAGGAAGTCGTTGAATTCCGCTTCGGTGCGTAGAGGTGCTGAGCTTATGCGTTGAGTTCTCCTAAGATCTTTGCATAACCCCGACGTAAAACTTCCTAGACGTACACCGGATCCACAGTCCTCAGCGGTAGGAGTGCGAAGGAGCCGGAACAAAGAATTCAGCTGCTCCTGTACGAATGTCTTCTGCATAGCGGAGAGATCTGGCCAAATGCTTTCAAGTGTGGTGCCTGTTGCTCGGAACATGAACAGATAAGTCCTTTGGTCACTACGTAAAACGCCTAGGCAGTGGGGGATCGGAAGCTCCGGCACATGTGTGGCAACGTATTGTAAATTATCGATGTGATCAGGATCAAGAGACTGGGCGACTTTGACTACATGGCTCGGCCCGGTCTCGACGACGAAGGTGTCGTGGAGCTGAAAAAGGATCTCTCCGCCGCGTATCAACTGGTTCAATGCTGCCGCCATTTCTTTGGATATATGGCTGAGAACTTCGTCGCACTCTGGTGTTGTATGTACCATATGCAGAATCGATCTGTCCAAAGAGTGAGTGACTTTGACGGAGCCATCCACTGGCAGGTCCAGTAGCCCATTCGCAACGGAAGGCTGGTGATCTTCGTTGTGCGTCTCATCAACTAGGGACGAGTTAAACGCTACGGCGAGCTCATCGACCAGACGCGGATACCCTGTTGCCTCTCGCTTCAAGACTTCAGAAATATCTGCAGCAGAGTCACGGCTCACCATTGAAGTCAATTGGCTAAGCGTGGCTTCATTGGCTAGACTGCGCGCCTCTCGAACAGCGACATGGGTGGTGGTAAGCGTTGGATCGTCTGAATCTGCTGCGTGTGGCATGTCGAGCGTCCTGAAGTCGTAGATAGTGACCTCGGGAGTTGTAACTTTTCCTTGCGGAGGTGCCCAGGTGGAAGATTCATGAGGGGCGCCAAGCTACTTGTTTCCCCACACTAGCGCGGATGCGACGGATGTCGGTGGCCTGAGCGTGCATCAGGGGAAATCAGGCACCGGCATGATAGTCCACAGCTCAGTCTACTTCTAACACACATCCTCCATCTTTGCTGCAGGTCCTCGGCGATGCCAGGGCTCACTTACCACCCACTCCATTAACAACAATTACTGCGACGATGTAGCGCGATGAGCCATTCGTGATTACCACAATTGATCAACACCCAAGTATTCTTTTTATGCGCAAAAAAAACTCTTGAATGAGGTAGGTCACGATTACTCAAGACTTACAACTCTTGCAGACATGTTGCATTGCCCAGCTGAAGTTCTGTCGCGCTAATGCCACGCTTGACCGAGAAGCGTGCGGCAATGGTCATGCGATCAGCGATCTCGCAAACATGAGCAGCCGCTCACAATAGCATTATAGACGATTGCAGTCGTATGCTATCTCTTTACCTGTTCATAGTCCCATATGTATATAAGCCGCCCATACTCTGGGATCGCCTCCACGCCAATGCTCTCCAGCATCTCTAGTACTTACCCCAAACCCGTCCCTGAACACACCAAAGCTCTTGGAATCACGAAGCGGTTTGAGGCCATCCTGCAAACATATAGACACGCATTCGTGACTCATTTCCGCATTCACCATGGCTGCAAAAACGCGCTGTGCGAGCTCAGCCGAATGTTTATCTGACACCTCCCACAAGGAGCCGATGACATGCTGAAAGCCGACAAGCAAACACGCACTCATCAAATGCAAGCCTTCGTCGATCAATTTATCAGCACTGCTCCGCCCAGTCGAGCAGGCCGAAAGATATGCTATGAACGGTGGCTTTTCGTGAAGCCTCAAAGACAACAGGTCCTTTACGGTGAGAGGGTCTTGCTGCCAATCTTCGACGAGAAGCGTGCTTTCGAGTGGGTCTTTTGGATCGGACATGCCATGACCCGCGAAATGGAGAATTGTGGCGCGACTCATATCTGCTATGACAGCGGCTTTATTGGGCTTCAGTCGTACCTCAGGTAATTCCTCAATGGTGGGTAGTTTCGACAGTTCATTTCGAACCAGTTTCCCTTCTTCGTCTGCGGAAGGAAGATCGCTGCCTCCAGGCGTTGTTCCCATGGACACTATGAGGGGTCGGTGCAAAGACAAGTGGCTGGCTATGTTCTTTGCGTTGCGCTGACTGTATATCATCGCTTTGATGGATGGACTGTAGGAGGATATGACTTTGTCCATCAAGATGAATGACGAATTCTTGGTGTAATTCCCAGCTGCGTGGATGGGCAAGGAGCACAGAGGACCGCTTGGCACCCACCACAAACGCGGCTTATCTGATGGTTGATGCGATATCAAACCTGAACGCTGTAGGGCCTCAAGTATAGGCTGTACGAGGACATCCCAGAGCCATCGAAGCAGCTCGAACATTTTCGGTTGAGTAATTTTACGCGACATCAGGAGCGTGGCCCAAGTCTTGATTGCGTCGAGTTGCAGATTTGGAAGAGGAACGTGTTCCAGATGGGAGGATGCGACAATGAAAGCATCACTGCGATAATCACTAACGTTGATGACAATGACAGGACCAGCTGATGCTATAGCTTGCATCTCCTTCATTGAGGGCGGTGCAAGGAAACGAAGAAATCCGTCTTGTTCGCGAATATGCGCAATGCTCTCATCGAGCTGTTTTACGATGTTGTTCCGGTGTGTGAAGTCGAGAGATACGTTCGTGCCGGAAGTCGCATCTTCAATACTGGCCTGTGCAGCAGACGATTCGAGGCTGCTCCTAAGATGCTCAAATCGAGTAGCAAGATCTGGATGCTGAGATCGCAAGGCCGAAATGTCAGAGCGAACATCGAACAGCAGACCGAGAATGATGCCCCGGCCTTCTTCCAGGATCTCGAGAGCCTTTTCAGCGGTTGCACCCGCCTGTAGTGCTACTGAGGCAGCTACCGTAGTCATCCCAGAGAATTTTGATATTGCGTCTTGTTGATCTTTTTGTTGCAGAGATCGGGGACTGACTCTTTGGAGAAGACTAACGGCAAGTTGCAGCAGAACGTCTGCTTCAGCAAAGTTGGCCTGCAGTATCAGGATGTCGGCAGCTTTTCTAGCTGCTTCAATTCGCAAAGAAGGCGAAGCAACGGGGTTGTGTGCGCATTTGCTTAGATTGCGAACAGATCTTTCCAGACTCTCGACAGAACCAGTAATCTTGTAATGTTCGAATTGTGTATTACCAAGATTGCGAAGCCGCGAGGGGAGTTTTCCGTCAGTAGGGAGCGTCTGAGCAACGACCGATTGAAAAAGTTCAACGGCTTCGGTTATGTTTCTCGAAGAGTCGGCCTGGGATATGGGGCTCATTGCGCTGATTTGCAAGATCCGTGCCAGGTTGTTCCGATTGGCGAGATACTCCAGCTTCGTGGGCCGACCGAGATGAACCGCCTTCCGCGCGAATAGCACAGCTTTGTTAAGATCGTCTGCATCGACTTTGTTCATGTAGCGGGCGATCAGCAGACCAGATAATGTACTGAGTATTGTTTCAGTAAAATGATTTTGATCAGACGTGTTTCGTTCCGCATCAGTCGCGCACTGTATCGCTTCTTCCAAGTCTTTTTCAGCACCCTCTCGGTCGAACCTTAGCCACAACACGCCAGCAAGGTTGTGCATGCGCTTCGTAAGTTGAGAACTATCGAGTGGTGTTCGATCCAATGACTTCCTTGCAGCATCAATCGCGCGATGAATGTCCTCTTTGACCTGCATCAGCTCATATCGGAATCGAACTAGGCCTGTGAGAACGTTCCAGTATTCTTGAGCATAATCACTCCTCCCCTCAGCTAGATGCTCTATCTCATCGAGCTTTTCAATCCCTCTGTCTAAATATATCACTTCTCCCTGGCATAGGTACATGAGTCCTTGGCACGATGCACTCTCGGTTTCGTACTTCAGAAGCTTCGGCGAGTTCGGTGGTAACAGGGTTGCAGCTTCTTCTGCGATCGGAATTGCTTTCGCCAAGTGTTCTGGTTCTCGTGTGGTAGAGTACAATACTCGTAGCTTAACGGCAAGGTTGTGAAGGTGAAGGGCCCGATCCCTGTCTGTCTCGGCTGGCAAGATATCCAGAATCAGTTCCGCGAAGTACACCGCTCTTTTGACATCGTTGGGGTCGTTCGTAGCTTCGTATCGAAGATTGAGCATCATTGATGCCTTGTCGCAACAGTCGGCTTTGGCACTCGGGGTCTGGACTTTGCCGAGGGCCTTCTCAAGGTAACGAACGCAACGAGTGATATCATTGACATCTTGGAAGTTCTGGGCACGGCATCCTTTGATCAGAGCAATGGCAAAAGACCACCAAGCCTTTCCATGGGAAGTCAAGATCCAGACGATTCCCTTACGAGCATCCTCGGCTACTGCGTGGCGATATTGTTCCAAGTGCGTCCGTGAAGACTCGATGTCTGATGGGTCGTAAGAGTCGTTCTCTGCCAAATGAAGCACCCAATCATGCTGCTCCAGGATACTAACTAAGAGCCTGTGCCTTGACAACAACAGTTCGCGATGCACAGGCATAATAGCGTGAATCGAACACTGTAACCAATAGAGCGCACATGCAAGGTCCTCTTTGGAGTTCGTTCGTTTGAACTTGATCATGAAAAGGTTGCTGACTTTCGCATGAACCCGGTGTTGCATATCGTGATCTTTTCCATGCAGTGATAAAATCCTGTAAGCTGCATCGATTGCAAGATTGAGGTCCGATTCTGTCATGGTGCGAAGGAACATGAAATAGCGTATAGAGGATAGGCACCAGACGTCCCCTGCTCCTTCATTATTCTCAAGCAGTGTTATCAACCCTTGAAGTGTGTCGACATCTGCCGCTTCGAACGTTTCTTCCAATTGCTGTCGTTCTGCAATTACTTGCGCCTGCTGTTCGTTTACGCTCTCCGTGTCCATACCTAGGTATTTGGTCTTTTACCACTGCTGGTTCTTGTGCACGCGGGGGGTTGGAAAGACTTGGTTATAGCTATCCTGGAGATGGGGAACGGAAAGGTGATGTTTACACTTCTCCGCAGGCAGTCTTTAAGCGGGGCCTTCGCCCTGACGCTACGGCTCGCAGTAGGACAGACATGTGGGCTGCGGACGCTCAGGTTGCCTATGTGAAGACGTCAGATTTCGAGGAGCGCATATGCATCAACAAGCCATTTGGGGGTCAGCTGAAGTCTAGCCCTCGGTGGCGTTCTCAGCGCGAAGGCTCAAGGTCCACAAGATCTGATTGGGTGACATAATTTGAGCTAGTGCTGGTCACGAGGTGCCTGTCCAATGATATCGAGTAGATCTCGCTTATCCATGGATGTCTTCCGAAACCGTCTTATCACCCATCTCACGCCTCCACGCTGTTCTAGGGAGCTGCAGGCCGGCGTACTGTGTGAACCAACTTCCTAGTTGATTCCTCAACAAAAGCCGTCGCGAGCTCTTGACACACGCTCGCGTCGTGAGTGACCGACCTGACTGCTTCGCTTCTTTAACACGATTACCTAGGTACTACTGTATCTTGTCTCTGGTTTTTCTTTTTGACATCAGTTGCGAACATGGCACCAGGTGTACTATCCACCCTCCAGCTCAAACACCCTATCGCACTATCTGAAGTCAAGCTAGGCCGTCTTATCACCAATCCTCTATATCCGGATGACAACTTCTTCCAGCCCAAGGCATCGAAGTTCGCAGAGCATCACGATGCAAACGCTCGCAACACATCTACGCCAAGCGACTCACCACCTATGAAGGTCTCAATCCAGCCATTCCACAACTTCAATGACACTCTGAAGCGCTCTCGCGGAACAAAACTTGAGCTCTCTTTATTGAGCTTGCTATCGACATCTACAAACCTCTCTAAAGGCAGTTCCAGGACCATTGAGAGCCCTTTGTGCCTCATCCACCAAGTGCGAAATCCAGAGTCTTATTTCGCAACAGTGTGCAAAGACAAGACAGCCTGTGAATGGATGGAGGAGCAGAATCAACGTCCAAAGACATATGTTTATCTGATCTGTGGATTCAAGACTTTGACGGACGCGACGTTGGAGCGAGATGGCACGAAAACGACTGAGTTCACACCTTCAGCTTCTTTACCTGCTGCAACAATCGCTGGTGCAGCAGCAGGAGTACCGATAGTCCTTCCAGATGGTGTGGGAGATGTTGAGGTTGGCATGGGCATCACAAAAGAATCGAGCGAGAGTCTGGGTTACTCTGCACCGGGAGAGCGCGTCTATGCGTTACAGTGCCGCAAGATCCACTTTAAGCGCTTCTCATCAAAGGTGGACGGTTCTCGTTTGAAGAAGACAGATGAGAATTGCTGGATATCGTATATCGATGAAAAGTCAGGGGATACGGACGAAGATGCCGTCGAAGCAGAGCTCGCTGGTGCTTTTGGCTTGGAAGATATCGACGACGAGTATGAGACGCTTGAGAAAGTAGAAGTGGGCTCAGAAGAAATCTTGTTTCAATCCGAGTAGACTCACACAATGGCAATAGCTTGATACTCAAGAGAACTATTCGCGTGTGAACTAAAGAAGTCGTGCTGGCCGTATGGATTGATCGCGTGTAGCAAGTATTCATTTGGCTATTATACCAGCGCCTGAATATGGAAGTCAAATGTTTGCCAATCGTCGTCCATCTTCGGCTGTTTTGAAAGGGGAAATGCACCATCGCGACAAAGAGGGGCTAGCTCTTGCAGGAGATCGTCCAAATTCTCAGCTGACTCGTTTCCTCTCCAGTAACCTTCATCTTCAGCGACTCGTAACTTCTGTAACGTCATGGCGCTCATATCTTTCTCTGGGACAGATACGAATATTTTGAATGTGTCCACGATCGGGATGTCACGTGCTGCAGCAGCCTGCAAAGTATCCGAAATCGCGACAAAGAGATCTACGTTGAGTTGATCGTAGGGCGCAATACTGTAGAACAGGTTTGAGTGCATGATCGAAATGCCCATTTCCGGGTTGAAATTGAGGATAACGCAACCGATAGTTTTTTCGGAGTTATTCGTGACTTTAAAACGGAACAATTCCTTTTGTTGCACACGATATACGCCGTCTCGCTGCCGTTCCACGCTCTGAGCCGCAGGTAACCAAATTGAGTCATCGGTGTCCTCGTCCAAAACGTGGTCGCGACCGTTTGGCGAAGGCTCAAGAGTGACATAGGCCAGGTCTGGGAGGTTGCCAAGACGAATGTGTGGATTCTCTAAGCCTTTCAACAGTTTGAACCGGGTTATGTGTTCTAGACGGGCGATGAGCTTGGACATGCTCTCATTGCCAGTAAGCGAAGTCAGCGTGTTGGAGATATGGTCAGGGAAAATGTCCCCAACGCACTCAATCCGATAGAGCTCGTCATGATCCAACTGGATTTGGAATTGAGCGTCGTCGTCATTCGATAAGTACAGCTTTTCCTTCCCTTTCAGGCTATGATACCAGTCGTGTTCAAATTGGAGAGCTGGGGTGCTATTGGCAGGGATGAATCGGACTCCGGCAGTTCCTCCTAGCGGCAGGCTTTGCAATACGGCTGGGCATCCAACTTCAAGCTCTTGCCATTGTGATTCCATAATGCTTTGTGGCTGAAGAAAGACAGCCCGGCACTCTCGCGATTTGGTTTGTTCGACCCGTACTTTCGCGAGGATGTCTGACTCTGATATCGGCGATGCGGGGTCAAAGTGGAGAGGAAGAATGGCATAGACGGAATGGGTGTATACTGCATCCATTCTGCCACCATCTAGGCGCAGCTGCTGCCTTTTCTTCTCCACTTGAAGTACTGTGAGGGTATGAACTCTAGACCTGAAAGCCTCGTCGAAGAAGAACCGACGCATATCCCCGATAATGAAAGGCGTTTGGGAAACCACCAGTTCCGCTATCTTTGAACGGACTCGATCGTAAATGGCACGAGTAGACAGCCGCGTAGACGTGTTTCGAAGCGTATCTAATAGCCAATAGGAGAGGTACCCGTGTCTGTAAGTGTCGGTAGCTGTTTTGCAGGTATATTCCTTTGCCTTTTGGTAATCAAGGCAGGCAGCGAGAGTCACAAATCCGCTCGGTGATTCCAGCCAGGAAGCCTTGCCAGCCCAATGTTGCACTCTAGCCATGTTGTCAGGAACATCGATCTCTTGGTCCGACTGGTAAGTGCCCCGAACGCCACGGACCCCTTCAACTTCTTCGTCATCATCTTCACCCCGCACCGCACCGCCGGAGAAGCAACTGTCGAGTACCACTGTAAGGACCACATCCTTTGCAACGATGTCCTGCAAGAGAGCGCCGAGTTCCAGATCCCTGAGATATTTGCCACCCTGTTTGATATCCCAGGGCACAAGACAATGATCAATGTTTCCGTGGCCCTGTCGCAGAGATTCGAAAACTGTCGTAGCACATGCTCCGTGTCCAGAATAGTGGATGTAGATAATATCCCCTGCGGCAGATGTCCGAGCAAGATTCTGTAAGGCGCCAACGATATTCTTGTACGTCGGTAGTTTTTGAACCTCACTGCTCTGTTCGTACGGGCTTGTGGTTCCTGGAACAGGCGCGAGTAGAGTATCAATATTGCCAGCAGGAACTTTCAAGGTACGGAGGAGGTATTCCCGAATAGCGAGTACATCGTTGACGCAGCCCCGCAAATTTCTGTATTCGATGTCGTTCCCGCTAGTGTCTTTCCTTGGATATTGATCCTGTCCTTGAACCTCATACTCATCGATGCCAATCAAGACAGCTCTTTTGGTCGTCATGTGGCGAGGACTGTTGTGCGTCACACTAGGCTGTTCGTTTTCGTTTCGACCTCCAGTCTGAGCTGTTGTGACATTCGCAAGTCCAACCAGAATGTACATATGGAGCCCATATATCGTTACGCGCGGCTGTTACCAGATCTTTGGCTACCTGGGTAGCGCGCCACGGGCCGCCATCAGGGCGTTCTTCAGCTCTGCACCCCTAGCGTGCGGAGCGAGCGACACACAACAAGCCAGACCACATACCACTTGCTTGCGCCGCGCAGACTATCCTCCTATCTTGTCTGCTAACATACTACTGGCACTTGAGGGAGAGGCGCCACGAGGCCGCCCGCATATGCGTGGCGTTATTGGTAGCGATACTGTCTGACAGTTTAGACACCCATGAACCAGAAGCTGCACGTACTCCACGGTATCGAGTCCAGACACACTCAGCTTTGCAGCCACGGCGTTGCGAAGGTACAAGGCCGACCAATCAAAGGGCCTGGACACCATACCTAGGTAGAGATGTAGAAGACGCCTGCAAATGTAGGACTCTAACCCTGGGCGAGGTGAGGGGGTCGAGGCGATGAATGCGCATGCATGATCTGACGTTCCAGCGCCGCCGTTCGCTGTTAACGATTCAGCTCTCAGAAATAAATAGCTTCCTGCTCACATGCTGCTTGAGAACGGTCGCGGCCATGGAGTAGCTGCGCGATTCCGGCAGGTAGCGCAAAGACTTGCCTGCACCCTGGAATTTTCGCCAGTCTTTGCCGCTTGAGACCCCTCCGCGTGTTGTGGTGTTGAGTTGCGGTTGCGCATGGAGTAAGAGGGTCGTTCTGGCTTCGCTTCACCGATGCGCAATGCTAGATTGCAGTATCGCGTCGCCTGATGGTTGAGGGCCGTATAGCTACCCAGGTAGTGCTCATCGTGGGCGTTGGCAGGCATTGCCGCCTTTACAGTACCTAGGTAGCGCTTACCTGTCGACCCCGCACAGACAGCGTATAGCGCCATCAAGCTTGCCAACTCTTGTGCTGGTCTTCTCGACAAGCTTTGGAGGTTCGCAATTCAACATTCGTGATGACACACGACGGCGAGTCCGTGTGGACAGCAGCAGCTGCGTGCAATGGGTATATTTGCGTGCAGATTGCTCGTTCTTCTACATACGACCATAGGATCATGAAAATTAGGCTTCCCGTCCGCTCAGCCATATACAAGCATGATACCGGCGGATTAGTAGTTAGGTGGGTGACCACTAGCGAATCCCCGCTGTTGTATGTTTTTGCCAAAAACTCCATCTTTTTGCCCATCGTGGTTCACGTGCCAGTCGAACCCCGATGGGCTCGCTCGTACAGGAGAGAGCGTGGGTGCTTTGATCTTGCATGTGTGGTGAAGGTGGCGACGCCCTTTCTTTTTGCGCGACGGTCGCAGACTCCAAGAACATGCCTCACTAACCTTGACTTGGACATTAGAGTAAATACCATGGTATCATACATCTCTATCTACTTCAACTCAACAACCTTCTTCCCCTTCTTCTTCGCCTCCAACACCGCATCCCTCCACTCCTTGACCCCGTCCAACGCGCCCTCCGGATCCGCCTTCTTCTGCAGTAGATAACCCTGTATCTCCGCGGGCGAGAACACACCCTCAGGCAGCGCTTCCGCGAACTGCTTCGCCATCTCCGCAAGCTTTTCTGGCGGTAGCGTCGCAAAGTTGGGCTTTGATGGCAGAGCGCCGCTAGTGAGGGGTGAGGAGGTACCACTCGATGGTCGGACTTTCCTCTTCTTTGTCTTGGATGGAGACTTGGTTTTCTCGTCATCGCTCTTCTTCTGTGTCTGCGTCGCTAGGTCCTCTTCGCGGCTGTACATGCGACGGAAGATTTCTTGTATTTGCGTATTGGTCGCGAGTGTGAATTTGATTTGCAGGTCTACCCGGCCGGGGCGGATGAGTGCGGAGTCCAGCTTTTCGGGGTAGTTTGTTGTCATTATGAGGACCCGACCTTCGCTGGATGCGGCGCCATCGATGATATTGAGGAGACCAGCGAGGGAGATCTTGCTCTTGCTGCCTTCTTCGTCGGTGGGAGAGGGAACTGGTGGTGGGGGAGGGGGAGGTGTGGGCTTCACGCTAGGTGCTTTTATGCTAGGCGTCTTTACGCTGGGTGCTCGGACGGATGATCCTGCATCGTCTGTGACGAGGGTGGTGGTTTCGCTGTCTGGCTTGGTTATCTTTCGTGGGCGTAAGGTTTGGGTAAGTCTTCGGCGGAAAGACTTCTTCTTCTCGATCTCGGAGATGGACTTCTGCTTTTCCTCGACCTTCTTCCCATTTGTGCTCTCAACCTTCTCTTCCTTCTCTGCCTTCTCTGCCACGGTTTCCTTCGCTTCAATTGGTATCTCGGCGTTCTCTTCCACCTCCGAGACGCGATCTGGTTCTGGAATCTCAGAGGACTTGTCCCGGCGAATACCCGCGCTATCAATATCTTCTAATAGGACGATACACCGGTTAGGCAGCTGGCTGAACAGCATAGCTAGATCCGACTCGGTCATGTCACGCTCACTCAAAGAAGCGCAGTAGACGCTAAGCCCAAAGATTCCAGCCACTGCGAAGCTCAAGGATGTCTTGCCTGTACCAGGAGGTCCGTGGAAAAGATATCCTCGCCTGTGGGGAATACCTCGGGCGGCGTACCACCGAGCCGTAGCGGGGTGGAGGTATTCGTTAATGTCTGCCACAACCTTATCCTTCTGCGTCTCATCCAAGGTCACTGTGCTGATAGGTCGTGAAGGTCGGCTTGACTGGGTAGACCAATAGCCACCGTGTTTAGTCTCTGCTCGCATTATCTCAGTCGTGCTGTTACTCTTGTGCGATGACCATTCCTTGACATGATCTATCAACTCCTTGACGGGCTTCGTGCTGCGACCCATGCAACGGATGATGACAAAGTACTCAATCCGTTCTGCGTACTTGTTCTCTTGCGAATCCTTCCTGAACTGGAAATAATGGCCGTTGTGGGTGAAGCTGTCGTCACCAAGATTAGGCTCATAGTACACTGGACTGGTGCCTTTGTACTTGTCATAGTTAAAGATCCCGGACTCGTCCAAAACGTCTTCATCGTCTGACTCGGGCTCGTCATCAGAGTCTGCGCTATATCGAGTCTTGGGCTTCCTCGAGGTAGCTTTCAGGTCTCTGCTGACTTCCGTCATGCGCTGTTCCGATATCCAGGATATGAATTGTGGGTATAAATCATCATCGTCGTCTATCCGGATAGCAGAGGTACCATAATCCCTGCATGAACTGTTAGCAGACCGCAGTTGATTGGTAGGATTGTGGACTTACTGCATCCATGTACGCCCCCTGTTGTACAAGAACATGGCTCCTTGGAAGATGCCAAATAATAAAAGGTATAGAGACATCGTGCTTCCAACATCGAACCCAATTTTGTTGAGGACCAGCTGGACAATAGCACCGAAGCCGGGAATGTTGATGGCTGCATCTGCGAGGCCAGGAGGTAGCGATTCCTTCAGGTTCTCCATGATTATACCAGGCCGGTGGCTCAATCCGCACGCCGAAGAAGTTTTATGCGTGGACGTGTCTTGAATGAATCCCGATGCGTTTGCTCGCGTAACAAAGCACCCAGGTTAGATGTGTTTCCAGCGAATGTCGGTGATTGTTGTAAAGTGGTAGTAGTCCAAGAAGAGACCTGTGATATACTTATTTGTCGCAAGCGCAATTCACCAGGCATCCAGATGATGTATGTCGATTTACCTAATAGCTTTTATCGTAATGACCTGTGGTTGAGAAAAAGGGCGGTGGGATGGCAGCCTGAGCTAAGAAGTGGCTGTGCACAATGTGCAGCCGGTCCAATGCGATCAGCTTCGATATCAGCCTCTCAAGGCTCTGTTAGGAGAAAGACTCCTCGCTGGGGTAATGGTCACCTGCATGATGCGTCCAGTGAGTGGAGACCGCATGTGTCTAAAGTGCAGTGGCATCGCTAGGTCGAATGAGAGCGTTCGCGCGCAAACAGCGTGGCTCCAAGCAAGGCTGAGTGGCGTACACTCTGAATCCCAGGATAAATATCCTTCGCGCACGAAGGGCGACTGAAGTGGCTGAGATGCATGCTGCTGTGGATACGGACGCATCATTACCGACTTTGGTGAGAAGAACCGGCGATGCCGGTCGTGAAGTGCGGGCTAGCCGGTGAGTCAACGCCCACCATGGTACCATAGGAAGGGCGCTGACTCGAAAGCTTAGCGAGGTAGTGGCAAGGCAGCCGCAGGGTTGAGATGTGATGGGGTTGGTTCATCTGCAGATGGCGGAGTGAGGGCTGTGGCGCACCGGTGGGCTGCAATCCTCCGCATGTTCGGGCTAGCGTATTTCTGTATATGGTCTTGGCACTATACGACTTTACGACGCGGGCTGAGAATTCGCCCGGGAGGCTCCATTGCATGTCCGCAACTGGAGACAATGTGTTGGAGTTATTCGTGTGCGATAGATTTCAGAAACAAAATGATGTAGAAGTGGTGATGAGATTTCATTGGTAGACATGCCGTCTGGATATCAAACGCCCCTACGCCCTTTCTTTTGCCGTGCATCTATCCTAGCCCCCCTAGTTACCCAACCAGTCTAAGAACTCTGGCGTGAAGTAGCTGACCACTATCGAAGCTCCCGCTCGGAGTATGCCCTGCGTAGCCTCTTCCGCCATCTGCCTCAGGTCGAACACACCTGCAGCTGCGGCTGCGTGGATCATAGCGTATTCTCCAGACACCTGGTATGCTGCAATGGGCATGTCCTTGCCAATTTCCTTTGCATCGCTAATGATGTCGAGGTACTGGCTCGCAGGCTTGACCATGATGATGTCCGCACCCTCACCAATATCTCTGACGATGGCTCGTCGTGCCAGACCGCGGCCGCCGGGAGGTAATTGGTAGCATCTTCGGTCGCCAAACGAGGGCACTGAGCCTGCAGCGTCACGGAAGGGACCGTATAGACATCCTGAGAACTTGGCGGCATACGACATCAGCACGACCTGGTGCGAGATGCCGGCTTCGATGAGCCTCAGCTTAATGGCGCGTATGCGACCGTCGTTCATGTCCGAAGGCGCCACGCAATGCGCGCCGGCATTGGCATATGAGAGCGCCACATCCGCGATTCGCTCTACTGACAATGCATTGTTCAAGCTGCCATCCTCCTTGAGGATACCGCAATGACCGTGTGAGGTGTATTCGCAGAGGCAGACGTCGGCAACGATGAAGAGGTCGGGGAATGCTCGTCGCAGCAGGCGGATGGCCTTGATGACGGGGCCCTTGGGGTCGTCTGCGTTTGTGCCCAAGGCGTCCTTTGCTGAAGGTGCGAGTGGGACTCCAAATAGTATGACCGACTTGAGGCCCTTTGCGACGAGCGGGGTGAGGTATGGCACGACCTTGTTCAGGCCTCGGCGGTGGATGTTCGGCAGGGAGGGAATGAGGATTTCTTCGTCAGGCTGGTCGGAAATGAAGAGGGGGTAGATGAGCATCGACTGCACCAAATGTTAGCTTTCGTCATAGGCGCATGGCGTCATTCCCCTCACCTTTGTGAGCTGTCGCTCGGCCTGCCATGCTCGCGACAGAGGGTGGCTGTATCCTCCATGCAATTGGCTCTTGATATCTCCGGATATGCTCACGCTGGTCGCGGCAGTGCTGGCGTAGGATCGGGTGGAACGCGCTTCCGATATTTGGGAGCGCAGGTCGGGTCGCTCTGGCCGCTCCGAATTGTTCCGGTATGCGATGTCAGAGACGAGCGAGGAGAACGACATGGCGAAGATAAAGCAATAATGTCTTGTAGGTTGGTGAAGGAATCGAAAAGTTCAAGTCCCGCCTGTGCAAAGAAAGTGGAATGTCGCTGACGTTGGCGTCGGGGAAAGGTGGCGTTCGTGGTAAATGCGGACAGCCGAGGCGTCAAGTTTCACTCCGACTATAGCGATCGCACTTCGAGTTTCAGAAAATCGGAGAACGGACAAACGCAGAGACGAGATGGGGGTATCGGAATGAAGAGAACAATTTGAAGCGCAATTCCTTAAAAGATTGTAACATCCACACGGTTTGCGACGACTACTATACGCATGTAAGCTGCAAATTGTCTCCGGTGCCCAATCAAATGTGCAGGATTACTGAGAACCAGACGTGGCCTAGCGTCGGATGGTGTTAGTCAGCTCCCAGGTCGAGAAGTCGGGACAGTCTCGGGAATCTTGGAAGCGCATCGAGCTTCATCACATGATGCGTCGCCGAAGTGAACACCTACGCAGTCGCGCTCCAAGCGCACAAGATCGATCCTCAGCTTCTTCCACGAGAGCATGATGTCGTTGTTTCGAGTCGCGAGAACCCAGCGGGGCGCACGCCTTTTATGACGATGTGGCTGGCTCACAATTTCCCGTCTCTGGCCGTCTGTCTACCCACCATCGCAACTTCCACCCTTTCATCGGCCCGTCTACAATGGAGTCTTACTTTTGTCTTATACAGTCGCCATCGTTCAGTAATCGGGATATCTGTCGCCGCCGCTGATCAACATCAATCTCAACATGACCGGACGTGGCTGCTTTGCAAAGTTACTCCTCAACTCAACAGTGTGAACGCGCAGTATGCGATGCGAGCCAACGCCAACATTAACATGGTACCGCAGTATCCTAATCAGATGCAGACGCCAGGCAGATAACGCCACGTACGAAGTCTCTGTCGTATACCCACCAAAACCAATACGGACAGGACCCTCAAAGCAAAAAGCAACATCACAAAACGAAAACATCAGCTTCGGAATGCGATGTTGTTGAGACAAAGGGCAAAGCGGGGTCGCCTTTTCAACCTATGAGCACTTTCGATAACCCGCTGTATTCGCTTACGGCTCGCATGGACACAACGTGTATACCGACGTCGTGCTTTCTTTTTCGACATCCCAAGACCCCGCTGCCCCTAGCTTGAACCCTAACCTCGAAAACAAACATCACAAAGCAAAACCTCTATACCTAGCGACCATAACCGACACTCGGTTAGGCTAAGAAGAGTAACTCCGTCCAATAGTGCCACACCATCAAGTTCATTATTCCTACTAGTCTAGGAGCACTGGGCGCTACCCCGAGTGCCGCGTCGCTCCCTTGACGGTTTTCACTGCAAGCCGACAGAAACGGCAGTCCACAATCACTGTACTGACATGGATGATTGCGCGCCGTCAGGGCGGGGCAGCTAACGTTAGACCCCGTAGGCCGTTCATCATCTTGGTGTTGCGCATATCACGACAAACAAAGTATAAGCCGTGCGTCTTGTGAAAGATAAACACTAGGTATATATGTAGAGGGCATGCAAGGCACACGAATCCTTTCTCACCCCTGCACTCATCGCAACTCCACTCAACTCGGTGACTCGATTGACTGTTCCAATCATGTCTGACCTACGCGCCCCCACCGTTGCTGTCAACTTGACACTGATAGTGTTGACTTCACTCGCTATTAGCTGTCGTGTCGGGAGAAAAATCAAGATAATGAGCAGCTTTGGCTGGCATGATGGTGAGCTCAGTCCACTTGTTTCCACACGAGTCATCATACTAACTGACATGAAGCTCTTGCTGTCTTTGCCGGGACTTGCGCCATCGTCTTATCATGTATTCAGATGTATGCGACACGTCTGGGAGCTGGTCTGCACGAGGCAGACATCGACCCGGCCAACATGGAGATGCTCCTCAAGGTACATCAAACCCAACCCACGATCACCATCTTCCACTTACTAACTCAACACCCCAGATGGTCATGGCCGCCCTAATCTTCTACTTCTCCGTCAACTGGGCCGTCAAGCACTCACTCCTCATCTTCTACACCGAGCTCACTTTCGAGCCATGGGCCCGCCGTTGCATCTTCATCATGCATATCGTCGCCTTCTCCTTCGGTCTCACCTGCGTCGTAACCAGCATCTTCCAATGCGTCCCAGTGGCAAAATGGTGGGACCCAACCATCGAGGGCTACTGCATCAACCTGAGTGATTTCTCCTACTTCAACTCGGTCTTCATGGTGGCCTGCGATGCCGTCCTCTATATCCTCCCCGTCATCTTCACCTGGAACGTTAAGCTCAGGCGCCACCACCGCATCGCCGTCAACTTCCTCTTCGCCTTGGGCGGACTCGTCCTCGCTGCAAGCGCAACTCGCGTCTACTTTGTCCATCGACTCGCCGTCATGGGGGACTTCCCCTTCCAATACGCCGCATCCATGATCTGCGCCGTCGTGGAGAACCATCTTGCCGTTATTGTCGCCTGCGCGCCTAGTATCAAAGCCGTCCTCATCCGCTACTACCCCAGCCTGCAAAGCAAGTTCGAACGCATCATCAGCGACGAGGGCTCCGGCTCAAAGGGCAAAGCATACCGGACTGGGAGCAGCGATCGTGCTACATATGATCCTGAGGCTGGGACCAACGGCAGTGAAGATGTCAAGCTGCAGATTGTCAAGACACAAGATGTCAAGATTGAGAGGCCAGATGCGAATCGCATGATCACTGGTAGCAGTGGGAAGAGTGAAGGTAGTCTACTAGGACGCTGGTGGCGGGCGCCTAACAACTGGAACGTCAGCGTCGAGAGCCAAGGGAAATAAGATGGAGGATTTTGTATATTCGTAGTCGTTTCGAGGTTGATTCCCCCTTCCTTCTGTTCAGTATCATACCCATGTAGTCCTCAACCACCAAGTTCATATCCATATCCACAACTTCTCACACCTCCGTCGTCCTCCCCGCCCCCTCCTCATCTCCCAATCTCACCCCCAAACCACCCCGAATACCTCCCCCCCTCACTCAACATCCTCCCACTCCTCCTCCCCACCCCCAACCCTCGGCACCCCACCCGGCCCCAACAACGGCCTATTCCCTCCCGTCCCAATATGCACGAAGCCAAAAGGCTCACCAATGCACATCTCCCTCTCCTCTTCATACTCAACTTCCCTTTCACCAAAACCAAGCGCAATCTTGATCTTGGCCCACAATCTCTTCCAAAAACCGTCAGACTCGATGACCTCGGCTTCGGTGACAGGCTGTGGCAGCGCGGTGATGCTGGTATCTTGCGCGTCTTTGAGGTTGGCGAGTGTGGGGTTCGCGAGGTGGTGGGATGTGTTTGGCCGGGAAGAGGAATTGGCGTCGGCGAAGAGGATGGAGGTCATGGGGAGGAGGTGCTTTGAGTCGTTTTGGGCCATTTTGTTTTGAGGCGCGGGGGTTTGCAGAGGGTGTGTGGTGTGATGTGCTTTGTGCGCTGGTGTTTGTCAGTGGCTGTATTGCAAAGATATGCAATGCGAGTGTAGAGGTACGGCGAGGTTGTAGCTGGCTACGAGTCTGAGAGACGGAGGATATCTCTTTGTTGTGGTCGCGGCGCGTGTCTCAGTTCGTTTGTTTGGAGGTTGCGTCATTGCGCAAACGGTGGGTTGAATGCGACGGTGAACGCGAGTTGCGTACGCGGGGTACGGGCGCGCCCATAGTGGTCTGACCTTGGGGTGAATAAAGCGTTCATATTGTTATGAGCAGAGTTATCCTCCATGAACTCTATTATGCGCTGGAGTAAACTGCGAGCTCCTATCGAATCGGTGTACTACTACGATGCGACTGGTTCATCGCCTGAGTCCGGCTCGCGACGGCTTTTGACTTATTGATCATCGTGACCAGGCGGTAGATATTTCACGCGGTGTACCAATTGATACGAGAACCTATAGTCTAGCCTAATGGCCTGTTCATACCCAATTATCGTGAGCTGCTTAGAAACATAGCCTCAGGACTCGGGGCAAAATTTACTGTAAACGCCCTCACCGACTCCTCGGCTTGGGAATTGCAGTCCATCGTGAGCAGAAATGGACTCTATCCCTTGCTCTTGAACAACTGAAAATACTATCACAATATCTAGGGAGTAGCGGCAAACGAGCTGGGGTGTGTTTCGTATATCGAGGATGGCGCGGTGGTACTTCGGTTGTCGTCGCGTCCACTCCTAGGCTCGTTCGTTGTTGCTGCCCGTACACGATCGGAATTGTGGAAAATGCCAAACTCACGCCTACGAATAGAGGAAATAGTCGCATTCATGAGAGCATTCGAAGTGGAAGAATGCGCGTTCAAGAAGTTCAAGCCAAGAAGGACATTGGCAGTCGCCGCGCGGCGCGACTACCAAAGTAATCAATCGGGCTTACTTTGTACCTATGTACCTCAAACCCAAGCTATCCGAGATCGCTCCCGATCACATCCGTCCGCTTAACAAAACATCGAGATCAGATTTACTGCAACATCGCTTCCCCAGATTCCGTTGCCGATGGTTAAACAATCTGGGGTAAAGTTGTCCACGGAACGATTTGTGCCACCAATCACACGATACAACACCAAGGATGCTTCCTCCACACTTCCCCGCAAAGTCACGATGGCAATGGCAAACAGCGCGCATGTTCGATAGTCGGCCCGTAGAGGTAAGCGCGACGGAATAATTACAGACTGTAGTAATCGCGTAAAGGGGTGCATTTCGTCAATCTAGTATAAGTACCCGGCCGTTCCGATAGACGAGTACCGAATACCAGGTCACTCGTTCTCTGCCGATCAATATGGTGTCTCGTCTGATACAGTTCCTTGCGCTTGCAAGCACTCTTTCTGTTGCAACTGCCGACAAGTACACAAGAACAAAGCCCGACCGAGGCGCGTTAGTTGTCGATGCATCCGGCGCAACCAACGGCAGCTACCCCAGCATCAGTGCCGCAGTAGACGCACTGCATAACAAGACCGATGCCCAAAAGATCTTCGTCGTCGCTGGAATATACAACGAACAAGTCTACATCCCTCCTCATGCTGGCCCCATCACCATACAAGGTTCCACGAAGGATGCTCGCGGCTACAAGGACAACGAAGTCACCTTGACATACAATCTCTCGCGCCAAACACCCGGTCTTGCCAACAACGACGCAACAGCTACCCTGCGCTTGAACACAACGAATGTCCGCGTGTACAACCTGAACGTCGCCAACACCTTCGGCGCCGCGGAGAAGAACGGACAAGCCCTTGCCCTGAGTGCGCAAAAAACGAACCAAGGATTCTACGGCTGCAAGTTCACCGGCTACCAAGACACCATCTACGCCAACATCGGACGCCAGATCTACGCAAAGTCTTTCGTCAATGGCGCGGTAGACTTCATCTTCGGTCTACGCGCCATCGCGTGGTTCGACAAGATCGATATCGAGGCCATTGGTCCCGGCTGGGTCACCGCTAATGGTCGCGAAGCGGAGAATAATACGAGCATCTACGTCTTCAACCAGGTCAACGTCTCCGGAACCAACGGCACGAACTCGACCTTCCTTGGCAGGCCGTGGAGACCGTACTCCAGGGTGGTTTTCCAGGATAGCTATCTGAGTGACGTGGTGAAGCCAGCGGGATGGGCACGCTGGGATGATGTGCAGAGTGTGGACAGTGTTGTGTATCAGGAGTACATGAACTATGGACCTGGCGCGAACCCAGAGGCAAGGGCGAACTTCTCGTCGCAGCGGGATGCGCGAATCAAGGCTTCGGATGTGTTTGGGATGAACTTTGAGAAGGAGAATTGGGTTGATGCGGATTATTTGTAGGAACCTTATAGAATTGGAGAGAAGGAGTATTGTACGATAGATTTGATAGAGCTAGTAACTGGACCATTTGGTGTGCTTCAACCCCGCGCCCTATAGCATCGCGTGCTGCCGACATGACGACCATGTGTGCCAAAGACACTCATGAGAGGCAGGACTGGATTAGCTGGTAGTTTGACAAGCCTTTGGAAGTCGTATAGTGTGTTGGGTGGTTGCGAATGAAGGCGGTTGGCAGAGTCGGAAAGTCCGATGGCCAGGAGTGGGGCATCACGTGATCATCCGCGTCGGCGGGCAACATCTCGGCATCCATGTATCTTCAACATAGCGCAGGGTAAATCATCACAATGCGATTCCGAGCTCTTTGGGGTTCTATCCGCTTCAATGTATGGCATCGTGATGTGTAGATATGTTCCTACGTTGATGATGTCGTCGCGTATTCTTTGGCATACGTCATCATCTTGATTGCGCAACCTTGGAAGCTCTACGGCACACGCAAACATCGACAAAAAGTAGCAATGAAAGCACTGATGTTCGGTGTCATGCTTTTCCGCAGCTGTCATAGACGAGTAAGAGTGGGTTTGTACGGGAAGTAGATGCCGAACCCCTAGAGATCGACCTTGCGGCTTGATGATGACGTTTTGCCAACATCACTGGCACGTCAAGGAGGGAGGGTGATAAACATGCGTGAACATGTCGCTGTGAGTTTCTGCAAACAACGACTTTGCATCTGTAATATCCTGTAGAATACTCGTAATATACCGAAAATAAGATGGCATCAAGATTTCTTCAGAGCTTTTCGCGCTCAGCGCCCATTGCCACCCGCTCCATCCAACAACGAAGCGAAGGTAGCTACCCTCCCTTTAAAACAAAAGAACAAAAACTAACGTACCTCCTCTCAGTCCTCGCACCAGTAATCACCCGCACATACGCCAGCAGCGCTGCACCCGGCCAGTCATCCAACGTGTCCAACCCGCAAGCAAGCAGCGCCGAGAGCCAGTCCATCAACAAGAGCGCCTCAGTCGGCCAAACCGACAAGAACGATGGCGACCACGCATCAATACAGAACCCAGTCAGCCATCCAGAGCACGACCGCGCAGGCGCGACGGAGGAGACAACGGAGAGTCAGGACAATATGAAGCATGACCCGAAGGAGTCGGATGCGAAGAAGAGGGAGAAGACGCTGAACTATGGACAGAACAAGCCGCTGGATGCGGCTGATAAGTAGAGTTTGACATGGGAGACAATTGGTTATCCAGCGAACTTATGGAGCATTGAAACCTGTAATAGCACTTCGAACACTGTCGATGCGATCTTGACCGCAAACCCCAAGTGGTGATGAGGCACCGTAGGTTGACACAAAATGTTCACACACTGTGTTTGAACTGAGACGGAGCCATTGCTGTTTTGGAATCATTACTCGAGTAGCGATCATCGTCTTGATATACGATGCGGTCGCATCAAGTCCTCGATGTCTTCGCTGTTGCTCCCAATCTTTTCCGATGGCCGACTATCAGGATTTCTGTACAGTGTAATGCTGTTCATCGAACGAGTATCGGGCCTGTAGAGAGTGAGGAGGTGTCAAGGGCGACATTGTGATGACGCATAGCCAGTGTGTGAGATTATCGGGCTGACATAGCAATGTTCGGCTTAGCTCATCAGCACATAGTTATGGAGCGCTCTCCATCAGTGAACAACGATTGCCATTCCGTCCCAATGTCGCGGTCGAATGGTGCCCGGAATTGCCCCAGTCTCTCGTATACTCTGTCTTCGTACATGTTTATCTCTCTCAGCAACAAGCCCACCACTATATTGTCTGCATGGACAAGTGCCGCAAGTAGAAACATGCTTCCGTTTTCGGGCTTCTCATTCGGCTCATCCATAGTGACGTAGAGACGTTCAAAACCCTCCTCTTTCAAACTTTCTGTGTTTTCATAGCCGATCGGCCCACCCAGCGTCCATTTGATAGGTCTAGACCAGGCTCGAATGGTCAGCAGTATCATCTTCTCCATACATGGTCTTCGCTCGCTTTTATCAAGGGGGAAAAGCCTGTACTCTTCTGCGATTGCTATAACCGTCAAAGACGCTCCAACAAATGGTCGCGTTCTCAATCGGCCATTCATCGATGCCCAGCTCCATGTTGGCGTGACCACCCAGCTGCCATCCAACATCTGGCTAGAGGACCTGGGCAGCCTTTGTGGTGGCCTTTCATCAGTACGGAATGAATGTCCAGGTGCACGATTTGCTCTCCAGTTCAGACTTTGTGGGAGCGTTTTCCAGAAATGGCCAGCAAGATACGTGTCGTTTAATGCGTAGTGCATGCAGCTTGCGATAGCCGAGATAGCAATCAACTTGTCCGCTTGGGGATATGTGAGCTGCCTCGCACTGTAATCGACAAGGATCTTAGACCAAGTATCCTCTAAAGTCCGGCTGTCTAAGGCCTGCGGAATGGAAGTTATCTGAAGACCCAGCGCTTCATTCAGAACTGCCCTCGTAGGGTCAGGACAAAGTTCGAAGCCGCGTGGAAGAGATTCGCTTGCGTTTGGGACCCGTACACAGTCCCAGAAAAGTTCTCCATGGCCAATGCTCAAGACGCGAGTAGCCAACAGGCGTTCTTGTAGGACCCATGCGCGACTTCCGAGGGGCTGTTGATAAAGCGAATGTTGGAAGTACTGGCTTGGTATGACAGTGAAGGCAGGAGGTGTGCCGGTAAAGTCCCCACTCATTCCTCGCATAGCCATAGTTGTAGTGAAAGGCAGATTCGCTTTACGATTATAACCTCCCATACAGCTTTGGTCCGGGTGCGCAGCCTGTACCAAAGAAATGTTGATGATGCAATTCGAGTACACTTCTTGCATGCGACTGCACTCCAATTGCCAGTCTTCACTACTCCCCCTGCCAGACTGTATGATACAGAGAGCATCGATCCAGAGGTAGCGAACTCCGAGCCCTTCTACGAAGCAAATTGCCTCTTGAAAAGCAATGGGTAAATCTGAATGGGTTATTCCGAGCCGAAAATCTTGCATGTTATCGGCCGTTAGCCGGATGAAGCTAGGATTTGGGCCCCAGCAGTAGCTCAAAGCAGCATACGGGCCCGATAGTTCCTCTTCCTGTGGTAGTACTAGTCGCACTTTGTGGCTGCCAAGTTCGAGGAGCCGTGTCGGATATGTACGCGGTTGTTTGTGTTTCTGACACTGCTCATGGGTGTCTAGACAAGTTCTCATCCACTTTTGCGCAGCCTGTAAGGATTCTGCCATGGGTATTGTGGACCATCTGCCGTATGTACCGACATTTACTGGGACGTTCGCTGTAGGTACTGCGACAAATCTCCGCGGGTCGAGCTTTTTCGGAAAACCGTGGGCAACACTTTTCTTTCTTCCCCACGTGGATAAAGAGGAATAGCTAACCATATGTTCTTCTGGTAGAGTACGGGAAACTCGAGAATAAGTATCTGGAATCTGACCGATGATGAAGTGACTTTTCAGGTCGTCCCTCAAGTGACCAGTTTCTGGCCTTACAGATTCCCACAAGGGAGTACAGATGTAGCATCCGGCTGTTGCTGCTTTGGTGAGAGAGGCAAGGCTCGAATGATGCTTGCGGTCGCCGCGTGAGAATACACGTACGCATTCTTCGCAAAGCATCTCCGTCAATATTCAAACACAACAAGCTCCTCCTTCCGTTGGGCCAAGGCGCCGATACAGTGGTGGGAAAAGTGTGAGCGTGAGCAGGACATTAGAGGGACAAATCGTGACGCTTCTCGTCGTGCATACTGTGGAACCACAACAAATTACCTATCAGGATGTGCGAGGTCGCTATGAGGGTTGCGCGATTGCGAATGACAGTAGAGGTGGTTGCGGTGGCAGGGCGTGAGACGTAGATGCGGAGTGAGTCGCAGCTTCGTTGATCTGAATCGAATTGTTTACCACGCCGCACGTTGTATGCGCCACGCACGTGATGTGCACACAAAATCTTGGAGCACAGCCTTGGAAGTCAGCTTAATGATAAAAGGTCTGCTCTTCAACACTCAGTACTGGAGTCCTCGGACGTCGTAAATACGCGCACGCATAACTGCAATTGAACTAGTTCGCCCTCTAGTTCTAATCGCAGTGAATCATGTTCTTCACGCCACATCGCAGAGCCCCAGCGTATAGCGCCACAAAACGCATCCGTATCCGAAAAGCCGATTACCGTTCGGAGGAAATGAAAAGCAAGGACAAAGGCGGTTTGTTTCGCAGTTTCGAAACTGTTAAACGCGGAACAGCGGACACTAGTGTTTTGGCAGGGGCGATCCACCAATGACAGAGCACGAGACCGGCTTAGCGCCTCGGCAACGTCTCCTGTCGTTCATGCCGTGGTCCCTAACCTCCACAATAGTCCTAGGCCTAACGGCGAAGATGCCTCGCTTGGGCGAAAACACCAGGAGGCTTGAAACTTGGGTGGACGCGCCGAGGGAAGGATGCCCTGGGCTGTGCCATGGTGGGAACGAGGCTTCGGCCTCAGGCATAAGTACCACGAGCGCGCCACTCTTTACGGTTTCTTCATCGCGCTTCATTCTCTTACCAACTTTACTATCTTTTCAACTTCTTCTATCGTTTATTACATTCGTTACTCAGGCACAGGATGTCTCTTTACACTCTTTTTGCTGCGGGCCTGCTCGCTCAGTTCGCGAACGCGTACACCGTCATTCAGATCCCTCCCCCTTTCATGGAGAAGAACATCGATCCCATTGTCTACCCAGGCGAGTTCGAAAAGTCGCATCTACACTCATTCTACGGCTCCGACGCCGTTGTCGCCGGTACCAAGACCAGCGCTGAACTCCAAAAGGGTTGCACCACCGCTGAGAACCCCAACGACTTGTCCAGCTACTGGGTGCCCACTTTCCTATACACCAAAGATGGCAAGAACTACGAGCCCGTTCCCGTCTTCCGCTTCAGCGCATACTACAACTTGGGTGAGACCCCCGCCGAGGTCCCCATCCCGCAAGACCTGCAGATGGTTGCCGGCAAAGCCGACGCCATGACCCCAGACGCTATGGACGTCAACGCAAAGGCCTCATGGGGCTGCGAGAGCGAAGACATTCCTCTCGATGCCAACGGCTTCCCCACCAAGACCTGCTCGACCCACATCCAGCAACTCCTTTTCTTCCCCCAGTGCGTCAACGAGAAGACCCTCGAGACCGGCTACAAGAGCCGCGACAACGGAACACCCAACTGGTGCCCCAAGGGCATGAAGTCAATGCCCCAGCTCCGCTTCTCCATCCGCTACGATATGCGCAAGGCCCTGCCCAACGGCTGGTCTGGTACCACCGCGCCGTTCAAACTGGCCTGCGGACCTGCGTGGTGCTCGCACGGTGACTTCATCAACGGTTGGGTTCCTGAGGCTGCGAAGAACATGGTCGGCACGACCAAAGAGAAGCAGCATTTTGCTGCCGTTGAGGGTCCCCTTGGTGGCCCTTCGGATGGCGCTTCTTGCAAGGCTAAGGATGCTGATCCCAGCCACGGCACGAACAACTATGCCAAGAGTGTTGCTGCTATGGCTAAGCGCAGTGTTGGCGCTTGGGGCTGGGAGACCAGGTCCAGGCTCGCTCGCTTGGTCAATGGCGCCTAAGTTGCGACGAACGATGGTATCATGGTCTCGTACCTGACGGAAGTGGAAAAGACCTTCATGTATATATTTAAAAAGAGGACTCTGCGTGACGTCAACAAAACGTACACATTGTAGCAGCAGTAACCAGCAATTCATTCACATATTCACTTCAATTTCCGCACCGGATCAATGGCGACCTGTTGCTTTGCTTCCTACTGATGTGATGACCACATGGCTAGTGGAAAACCATAGTTGAGGTATCATTTCATCTAAATTCGCTCAAGAGATCATATGACCGTCATAACATGTCCTAGTGCAAGAACTCATTGAAGAAGTTCACAGCACTCCTCTTCGCCCTCTCCAGACCATCCTTCTGCTTCTGGTCGTTGGGGTTACCACGTGCAGCAAAGCCGTGGTTTAGACCAGGGAAGTAAATGTACTCCCACTGGACACCAGTCTTGGGTAGCGTCTCCAACGTAGCCTTCTTCAGCTCCTCAGTGTACATTTGGTCGTTCTCGGGCGAAAGGACCTGAACGGGGACCTTGACGTTCTCGATCTCCGACTTCTCGAGCATGGACGGGTGGGCGGTCGAGATGGCATCGACGAGCGAGGGGTCGGCGCCGAGCTTGAAGACGGCCCATCCGCCGTAACAGAAGCCGATGGCGGCGACCTTCTTGTATTGCGACTTGAGGGTCTGGGCGTGCTGCTTGATCTCGGGGTAGCGGATCTCCTTGTTGTTGCGGCCGATGAAGGCCATGACGTCGAATTTCTTCGCCTTCTCCGGGTCGGACATCGCGTCGGGGTCTACGACTTCGCCGCCGAACCTGTGTGATTGCTGTTAGTTCCATAGTTGCGCTGAATGCATGGATCGCGTCGCGTAGCTGCTTACACATCGGGAACGTAGACGGTCGCATTGGCTTCTTTTGCGTAGTGGTCTGCCAGAATGCGGATGTTGGGAAGGGTCCAGCCGAAGACATCGGTGATGATAAGGATAGCGGCATCCTTGTTGTCGCCGGTAACATAGCAGTCGATGTTGTCGAGCTTAGCTTCCTTGCCGACGGACTCGGCGCCCCACTTGAAGCCGGTCTTGCAGTTGTCGCAGGCCATATTGGAGTGCTGTAAGAGGAATTGATAGATGTAGAAGGAGTTTGGTGTGACGTTTGATGCTGTCTGCGAAATTTGGCGGGGTGGAAGGGCCTTAAGTCGTTCAAGCTTCAGGTGGGGTAGACTCCATCATCCAGCCGTTTTCGTGCATGAAGACACAGAAGATAACCCGGCATCTAGCCGGTTCCGTGACGAGAGCCAATCATATCGGCAGAGCGTTACACTGCATTGACTTGGTTGCCGGTGTTGTCGTGGAGAGAACGATGACGACGATAGCCGGCGCCGGAATTTGTATTTGCGCATCGCTAAACCCGAGCTTCGTTCGCCGATGTCCGCCGCAACGCTGACGAAGACGGAACACTTTTCTACATCACGGCACCCGGAAGACTTTCTATCATCCGATCTCCGACATCTCTTCAACGAATTTATCGGGTGTATATGTTGCAGTAATCACTAGAACTCTATCCTCAACTCGTGGATATGGGGAAGATCTTTCCGGCGTGAGCGCCGCAAGGATCGTGGAAGAAAGCGCTGTAGGTGGACTTTGGGCTCCCCATGAGCAATCACGAAGATGGCTAAACAAACTCAGCTCTAACTTATGTTTAGCTTCTGGACAATTCGCCAGGGCGCCTGATGCGTCACTGTAGTTCCGTGCCAACAAGTTAATAATAAGTCCATAACTTTCCGTATATCTGGTGAACGCTACAGCTGCATTGCAACCCGCCTTAACTTCCCACCCTGACCTTAGCCTATTTCTGCACCGATTTACGATGTTCTTCGAGTATCATCGCGTCTACACGGTTGTCTGGGTAAAGAGGTCGATGAACCTGCACTCCGTACGGATTTCTCTCGTAGATGATCATGAAGGCTTGGCCGAGAGCAGGAGGTTCAAACCTGTTTGCTTGCACCCATCGCGCCTTAAGCGTTTCCCAGACATCTTGCTGGAACCAAGAGATTACCCAGTGCATGGGAACGTCGTGAAAGGAGGCGATGAAGTATTGCGCGTCGCTGCTCATTGTCCATTTCGCACCACGAAAGGTTCCGCCGTTTACAACAGGCCATTTGCGATGGTGTCCGGAAGCATCTCGTGTCGTGAACTCTGCACGTGAGTTGCCCTTGAGATAACGGAGAACCTTAAGACGTTCATCAGCGCTTGATGGAACTTCCAGCATGCGGAACGCGTGTAGTTCGTGGAATTGGCCGTCTAACGCACTCTTACCGGTAGGCATCGGTAGATGACCAACCACGTTCAGTTCCCACGAGAAGCCTAGTTCTGGAATCTTCTCATCTGCAGCCCACAGTGGCTCAGGACTGATATGATGGAACATGTGGTACCCGTGCGCAACTTCATGGCACAGAACAGTAGCGAGCATGAAAAGGGTTCTGTATCGTTCGTTTTCACTTACACTAGTCGATTGAAGGGCTTTGACGAAGCCCCTTGTAAGGGCGATGCAAGGCTTTCGGACACCCTTACTAGAGAGAACAAGTGGAAAGTCAGCGGACTTGAACTCGTTAAAGTAAGGCAACGCTTCTTTGTGACTGTATGTACAGCCGTAATAGTTGTTCCTCACACCAGGATGGTCAAACGAGAAAAAGTTCGTTTTTCCAAATTCGACTAGGTTCGCCTTGACAGTAGCAAGGGCTGCTGGGGTCTTATAATGAGGATTTCTCTCCAGGTACACTTGACCGGCCGGATTATGGCGACGATGTCCAAAGGTCAAGTGACTGAACCAAAGCAGGGGCATGTCTTCGGTCAGCCATAGTGACGCAAGTTGCAAGGCAGGTAGCATGCTGCGGTAGAGTTTTGGGGTGTCTTGCCCTGGACCAGTGGCCCAGCGATCCAAAGCAAACATTGGGTGAATAGGATTCGTAAGAGATGGCGCACGATATGTCTCCAATCCTCTGTGTTGTCGCATATGCCAGTCAAACTCGCGTTTGATAAAATGAAGAAAGTGGAAGGCATCCATAGTTGAGGTAGTCATGAATTCCTGTAAGACTGTTAAACTTTGGCTGAAGATCAGACTGTCTTTTGAGAACTCTAGTAGTAGTAGTAAGCTGAGGATGGAGTTGCCTCCAGTTAAATAGACTATAGGAAGACCACCCGCCCGCGTTGTGCAAAGGCGGTTGACGCCCGAGTGGCGTGAATACATGCCTAACCTTGGGATTGAATATCATCAGTGACATGACACGCTGAAGTACCGGCGGCTACCTATAGTACCGAACCGACTGGTCACTTCGTAGGGTGCCATGTGCATGTCGTTGCAAGGCGAGCCATGCCCGCTGGACATGAAGGGATTGTTTCTGAGATGGACATCCCGAGATAATGATAGCAGTGAGCAATCCTAGACCCCGACTTGGTGACACTACAAAGCTTGTGATTAGCGTAGGAGACTGGCGACAAATACACGGTGTGCCTGATGTGGCCATGTGACTATTCGCGCCATCACGCCGCCACCTTGCGATTTCTGACAAGCTCAGGACTTTTCATTTGTCGCTCTGCGTGGCCCATTCGTGTGGCTACGGTGCTGTCTACAGCATGGAAGTAGAGGTGGAACAGAAGATGAAAACGGGGGTTGAGGGAAAAACGAACCTTGGAAGGAACGACCTCAGGAGCCACCCGCCCGGGCGGTTGATCTCACATCACGTGCACGCTAGTGCCGCTCACAGCTCCAACGCATCATCATCATCATCACATTCCATGCGCTCGTCATGACAACCAAGCAATCGACACGATATACTGCTTGAATTGTCGCCGCGCTGGTGCGACGGAATTACTTTTCCACATAGGAAACCACAACGCAAGTCCTTTATCTGCGCGATCGCGACCATGCGATGATCATTCAGCGCGATCGAAAACATCGGCGAAAAGAACTTGCAGCGCGATGGGTCCACGATCTCACAACTTCGCCAGGACCGTCTCTGAAGATCGCGCAGCCCATGTCTGTACCTCGGGACGCTCACGATAATTGGCAGGAAAGAAGCGCGGTCCAAGAATCTTTTTCTGCACTTTGCCTGTTATCGTCTTCGGAAGCTCGTTGTCCACGATTCTCAACAACGTGGGTAGCTTGTACCCAGCCAACCTCTCGCGTAAATCTCGCCGCAGGTCGTCGATGCTTAAGACGTGTCTGAAAGATTTGTTGCTTCTCAAGGATGCAGGGCGCGTTGCCTCATCCTGCAGCGAGACCAGTGCAGCGACGCGTTGCCCGTACTCCTCGTCCGGTACACCAACCACCATGGCTTCGGCTACATATGGCAGACTCAGCAGTTCGCGCTCGACATCCAGAGCCGAGATCTTGTACCCGCCTGACTTGATGATGTCTAGAGACGCCCGACCGATAATAAAGTAATATTTGCCCTCTCGTCGCGCAATGTCGCCGCTTCGGAAGTATCCATCTCGATCATGAGCTTTTGCAGTTCCTTCAGGATCACGCAGGTACTTTGAGAACATGTGCTAAAGTTGGTTAGCACAACCTATCAACCCGACTCATATAAGACTTACCGGGCTTTTCACGAGCACCTCTCCCTCGTCTCCTTCGGATAGCTTGACATCAACGCCACTGGAAAGTTCACCAACTGAGCCTTCTGGAACGCTGCCGTCGCCGAGGCGCATCTTGAAGATAGCCCCAAACTCGGTCGCTCCGTATCTTTGCAGGATCGGCTTTTGCATCAGATCCTTCCAAAAGTCATCAAGCGGCTGCGGTAGTGCTGATGTGCCGCATAAGCAGGCTCGAAACTGTCTCGCTCCCGCGACATACTTCGCTATCTCATCTGCAGGTAGCTTGCTTATTCGTTGTAGATAGTGTCGTCTCATCCTCATGTATATAGTGGGTACACCAGAGAAGACAGTCAGTCGTCGTTTGGGATCGGAAGCGCCCTGTTTCCATCGCTCCCACATCTGCTCTTCGTCAAAGCCTCCGCTGCGAAACTCGATACGGCTACCAGCCACGAGAGATGGAAAGAAGTTGATGCCAACACCGGTCGCATGGTGCACCGGAAGAACGTGGAGAGCGACATCATCTTCCGTCAGCTGGTAATGATCTGCCACTTCGAGTGCACAGTCAAAGATGAAAGATCTTCGCATAACTGCACCCTTAGGTGGCCCAGTAGTCCCGCTGGTAAAGATGACCACAGCGGGCGCATGCTCACCCAGAATACAGTCGGAAGAGATGATGATGGCTCCAGCATGGAGGGTAGGACATGATTTCGTTGGCTGAATGCTTACGGCTTGGAAGCTCTTGTTACTCACCGATGCAACCCGAGTTTCCAGGTCGCGACATTTCCTCATATTCGATGAGCTGGCAAGAACCAGCACTGATCTTGATTTCTCGATGAAGTAGACTGCTTCTTCTACGGGTAGAGCTGGAGTCAGTGGCACTACAGCAGCTCCAAGAGCAAGTATCGCCAACACCGCTACTGCGTATTCATAGCCTCCAGGTGCTATTACGGCGATGTATACCTCTTCCCGTCTTTCTAGTGCCTCACGAGTCGCACTCGTCAAAGTGCCGAGAAGCCTTTCCCTCAGGGCTAGCACATCCGAGAGTAACTCTAGATGGGTCTTTTGCATATCCAACCGAACATCGTCGATAGCTACACGCGCAGGTCTCCGGTTGGCAAATCGGAGAAGCCGACTGAAGAGAGGCTAGGATATGTTCAGCACAACGCCATGAGCATATCTGTATATACGCTTACACTATTCGGCAGCACGTTACGCCCAGAGTGCTTCGGCACCATACAACATCGGTCTTCCGTCATCGTATTGCTCGGTTCCTGCCCAAGCATCTGGGACTTGACCGCCAATGCTCCGTAACCACCCTTCGTACCTGGGTATTGAGGTGTTGTACTACATGATGAGCCGGCTACAAACACTCGGATATAACGACTCGCATGTGGGGTTTCATGAAGATTATTTTTCCTTAGCCGATCGTATCACAAGATTCGCGGGGAAGTATTCCGCGAAACCCCGCAACGCTTTCACTCCCGGCGCTAATGGCTGTGCAAGGCCCCGCCGCACGCTCGTAGCCGTAATGATGGCCCAAGGTCACCGGCAATCTCGATAAGAAGGCGATGCAGATTCGCATAACTGTTGGCATCAATTAGTTGCATGCGGCACAGCTTCAACACACCGTTCGGCAATTCCGCCCGCGTTCGCTGCATGAAAGGAGGACCGTCACGCGAGTCGTTGTGCCGATGGCCACTGCTCCTTCACCGTTCATGGACTAGCAGAGAGGTTTGCGACCGGTCGGCACGGCATCTTGGGCAGAACCACTCAACGTGCAATTCTCAAAATGCCATCACATCAGACCTCCGGGGTTTCTATTACGCGCCGGCCCTGAGCATGTCACTACACGCGTATCACAATCTCATAATTTTGCACGAAGGATGCGATCAATCCCCCAGGTCGCATGGTTGACGCGGCTGCATGATATCAAGCTCGAATCGATCCACATTTCTAGTTTTTACTTCCTCAGGCGCCTATGCCCCCGTACGTTCAATCACAAATTTGTTGTTCTCTCACGTCCAACGTTGTTCCGGGTTGTCTACCCGGTCTTGCATACCGCCGTTCGCTGTGCGACAGCCTACAAACCTTAATCCTACGGTGTCGCCTAGATAGTCCCTCAATGCAAGAGGCTACAAGGCGCATGGAAGCCTTCGATAGCTCTCAAATATTTCCGCAATGCAGCTGCCTGGAACGAGCCCGATTGATCAGAAGAGCATGCTATTTCCTTTTCGAAAGGCGCTGCATGCATGGCGCTTGTCGCTTATTGGGCAGCGCCGTCGCACATAACGTGGGGCTTATTGCATCAGTCAGCCACAATGGCTGCAGCCGCATCGACATCTATCTTCGTCATCTTACTGCCGACAAGGGTTCTGTTTGATTGTTCCTTAGCGATGCTGATGGTATTTGCTGGCATTTCGTGTTGCTAACGACCCACTAACCGAAGGACCGCCGGCGACGTGTCTCCTCAAAGGCCTTACCGATCATATGACGCATCATTGTTTACACTCACAGCCTGCTCAGAGGCGCTGCATCACACCGCTATCTGTCAGATGCTATTTGGAGTGTCACCATGGTAGCTAGCTTCGGTGAGCTCTCAATACTGCGGCGAGACTGGTTTGTCGAAGGCAGTCATGAAAAACGTGTTCACGTTGACTGGGACGTTGAAAGCAACTATGTGCTAGCGCTGGCTCCTTGGTTTCGCGGATCCCTCCAGGCTGCCATGACACGCTCAGCGGTGCTAAACGCGGATGCATTTCTGTCGCAAAAGTGGTTCGGGCACACAAGCATCCAAGCGCCTGGTCATAGGGCTGCAATTTGACCTTGCTTGAGGCGCACACCGACTAAAGAAAGGCAGCACTTCCGGTGTATTGATTTGCCTGCAGTTAGTTTGGTATCGATGATCAAACAATGCCTCGTGGCATCCTGGTCACATGGGCCATTCAGGTTGAAGAGCAGCCAAACCCGCAATTTCAGATACGATCGGAATGTCACGCTGTGCCGCGACAAGTCCCGCAGCGACAGCACGATCGAAGGACGTGGATGACAGCCTGATTTTGACAGTCGACAAACAAGGACAACTCCTATGCGCCCCACCCTTGTCGCCAGGGGCATAGACGTCACAGAATAGCAAATTGATGTTTTTCGAGCTGCATACTGTCGCTAACCTCAGCCTCGAAAGGCGAGGATTGGCGAGATGGAAAAGCAACGCATACGAACGGTCCTAGTCGTGCCCATCTCGTTTGTCGGCGGGAACCCTCTCTGAACGTTGCCGCATCGGCTGCACCTCATCCG